TACATTTAATACAAAAACGCATAGCAACACTAACTACTACACACTAGTAAGTAATGCCTTCACATAAATAAAACAGATAATACGAAGAATAATATTAATAATAATGCTATACACTAGTACTGTCCCATCTCCACCTCATCATCATACTGCTCCTCATAATCCTCCGCGTTCTCCTCCGGCTCCTCCTCCTTCTCCTCCTGCTCCCCCCTCCTCCTCCTCCTCCTCCTCCTCTTCCTCCTGCTCCTCCTCCTACTCCTCCTCCTCATTCTCCCCCTCCTCCTCCACGTCCTCCTCGTTCTCATCCCCCGCCTTCTCCGTGTCTACCTCCTCCTCCTCCTCCACCTGCTCATCCTCCTCCTCCTCCTAATCCTCATCCCTCGCCTCCACATCGTTGTTCTTCTTCTTCTTCTTCTTCTTCTTCTTCTTCTTCTTCTTCTTCTTCGTTTTCTCCTCCCCCACCTCCTCCTCCTCCTCTCCTCTCCTCCTCCTCCTCATTCTCTTCCTGATCCACCTCACACCTCCTCCTCCGCATACTCCTCCTCCTCCTCCTCCTCCTCCTCCTCCTTCCTCTTCCTCCTGCCTGCTCCTGCTCCTCCTCCTCCTCCTCCTCCTACTCCTCCTCTCCTCCTCCTCCTCCTCCTCCTCCTCTCCTCCTCCTCCTCCTCCTCCCTCCTCTTCCTCCGCCTGCGTCTCCTCCTCATGCGCCTCCTCCTCCCTCCTCCTCCTCTCCTCATCCGCCTTCTCCTCCCACTTCTCCTCCTCCTCATCCTGCTCCTTCTCCTTCTCAGCATAATCACCATCATCAGCAGCATCAGCATCAGCAACATCATCAGCCTCATCATCATCATCATCATCATCATCATCATCATAATCATCATCATCATCATCATCATCATCATCATCATCAGCATCAGCATCGGCATCATCATCATCATCGTCATCATCAGCATCATCAGCATCATCAGCAGCATCATCATCATCATCATTATCATAATCATCATCATCATCATCATCATCATCATCATCATCGTCATCAGCATCATCATCATCAGCATCATCATAATCATCATCCTCCTCAGAATCATCATCATCAGCATCATCAGCAGCAGCATCGTCAGAAGCACTACCACCACCATCATCAGCATCATCACAATCATCATCATCGTCCTCATCATACTGTTCATCATCGTCGTCATCATCAGCAGCATCAGCAGCCGCAGCATCGTAAGCATCATCATCAGCAGCAGCAGCAACAGCAGCATCAGCATGATCACCATCGTCATCAACAGCATCAAGAGCAGCAACAAAAGCATCATCATCGGCATCACCATCGTCAGCAGCATCATAATCATCCTCGTCATAATACTCAACATCAACGGTATCATCAGCAGCAGCATCAGCATCATCAGCATCATCATCATCATCAGCATCACCATCGTCCGCATCATCACCACCACCACCACAATTATCATCAGCATTAGCAGCAGCATCCCCAACATAATCATCATTATCACCACCACCACCAACAACAACATCCTCATCAGCATCATCAGCATCAGCAGCATCATCATCCGCATCGGCATCCTCATCATCGTCATCAGCATCACCATCTGCAGCATCCTCATCATCAGCAGCATCGCAATCATAATCAGCATCATCATCATCATCAGCATCGGCATCATCATCATCAGCATCAGCCTCGTCATCGTCATCGTCATCATCGTCATCATCAGGATCCTCAGCATCTGCACCATCAGCAGCAACAGCATCAGCAGCAGCATCATCAGCAGCATCGTCATCATCATCATCAGCATCGTCGTCGTGAGGAGCATCATCACCATCAGCATCAGCATCATCAGCATTATCAGCATCAGCATCATCAGCATCAGCATCGTCACCATCATCATTAGCATCATCAGCAGCATCGTCAACGTCACCATCAACATGTGCACCATCGTGATCATCAGCACCGTCAGCATCATCGTATTTGCCAGCGTCGTCATCATCAGCATCACCAGTATCATCAGCAGCAGCAGCGCCAGCATCATCACCGCCATCATCGTCATCATCATCAGCATCACCATCAGCAGCATCCACATCAGCATCATCGTCATCATCATCCACCTCATCAACACCATGATCATCCGCGTCATCATCAGCATAACCGTCATCATCATGATCAGCTCATCACCATCAGCATCAGCATCATCAGCATCATCAGCATCAGCATCATCACTGTCAGATTAGCATCATCATCACTAGCAGCATCGTCATAATCAGCATCATCATCATTAGCAGCATGATCAGCATGATCGTCATCATAAGCATCATCATCATTCTAATCAGTAGCATCACCATCATCATCATCAGCATCAGCATCCTCCCAGTCATCATCACCACCAGAATCATCAGCATCATCATCGTCGGCATCATCATCAGCCGCATCAGCATCATGAGCAGCAGCATCAGCGTCATCATCATCAGCATCATCATCATGATCAGCAGCATCATCAGCATCACCATCGGCATCCCAATCCCCATTCCGATCCCGATCCCGATCCAAATCCCGATCCTCCGCTTGGTCATCCTAATCCTGCAAAGCAACTCCTCCTGCATGTGTCAATCGCCCGTATTAGTATACTCCTCCCTCGTCCTCCTCCTCCTCCTCAACCGCCTCCTCATCGTCATCAGAATCATAACACTACTCCGCCGCAGTAATAACGTCCTGATCGGCAAGATCATCAGCAGCATCATCATCCTTGTCATCGTCATCATCATCAGCAGCAACATCATCATCATCATCATCATCATCATCATCATCATCATCATCAGCATCACCATCATCATCATTATCATCATCATCAGCATCATCATCATCATCATCATCATCATCATCATCGTCATCATCATACGTATCATCATCATCATCATCATCATCAGCAGCATCAGCATCAGCATCAGCATCAGCATCATCATCAAAATCATCATCATCATCATCATCGTCATCATCGTCATCATCATCATCATCATCATCAGCATCAGCATCAGCATCATCATCTATCGTGGGTAGCAGCTGCAGCAACATCATCAACCTCAGCACCATAATCATCACCAGCAGCAGCAGAAGCAGCAGCATCGTCGTTATCGTCATGATTATCATCATCAGCATCATCATCATCATCACCAGCAGCCGCATCACCATCAGCTTCGTAATCACCAGATTGTTGTGTTTTATGCTCGAGCAACAGCAGCAGCGTAATCATCATAAGTACCGTCGTATGACGCCGACAGCGTCATCATCGTCGTCAGCCCAATCATCATAGTAGTCTGTCTCACCGTCATTGTTGCCAGCATCATCGCAATCTGCAGAAGCAGCATCAGCAGCAGCATCATTTTCATCATCAGCAGCATCATCCGCAGCATCATCATCAACATCATAATCCTCATCCGCATCCTCGTCCTCATCCTCGTCATCACGACCATCATCGCCATCATCACAATAATCGTCATGTTCAGAATCATCATCATCGTCATCATCGTCATCACTCATCGTCATCATCATCATCATCATGATCAGCATCATCAGCATCATCGTCATCATCAGCATCAGCAGCAGCATCATCATCAGGAACGTCATCATCGTCGTCGTGCTCGTCGTCGTCGTAATCATCAGCGTCACAAGCATCGACATACTGATCCTCCTCCTCCTCATCATCCTCCTCCTCCTCCTTCTCCTCAGCCTCCTCATCCTCATGATCCCTCCACCTCCCTCCCCCCTCCTCCTCGCTCTCTCGGGCTTCTGAAAAGCCAAGACGGCCTCAGAAGCCCCCCAGACCCGCCAAAGACGGCCCAGGAGGCCTTTGGAAGCCCCAAGGAGTCCTCAAGAGCATCCCCTGCAGAGCCTCCTGAAGCAATAAAAAACAGAATTAGCCTGGCGAAGGACCCAACCATATGCAGCTACCAGCATCGCGAGGCAGGCGACAAGGAGGGGGGGCGACACAAGAACTGCGGGCGTTCAGAGGAAATTAACAGCGGGCACGGGCTCGCGGGGGGGATGTTTTGCTTGGCCCGAGCACCGAGCGCAGCCGTTGTCGTGCCCATTCCTTCCCAGCTCTTTCGCCCCCCCTTGTTTCCGTTGTGCGCTGCGTTCCTGTCCGCCTGGCGCCACGATACGTGCGAGGGTGTGCCGTATCGGGTGTGGGCGGGACATGCGGGCTGTGCCGCTGGGGCCTTCGGTGGAGCTCCCCATGGGGCCACGAAACATGTGAAAATGTGCCGAATCGGGTGTGGGTACGCCGTGCGGACTGTGCCGCCGGGGCCTTCGGTGGAGCTCCACATGGGACCACGAAACGTGTAAAGGGTGTGCCGTATCGGGTGCGGGTACGCCATGCGGGCTTTGCCACTGGGGCCTTCGGTGAGGCCCCTTGTTGGCCCACGAAACGTGTGACGTGCCGAATCTGGTGCGGGTACGCCATGCAGGCTGTGCCGCTGGGGCCTGCGGTGGAGCCCCCCGAAAGGGGCACGAAACGTGCGAGGGGTGTGCCGTATCGAATGCTGCTACGCAATGCGGGCTTTGCCACTGACCCTGTTATGGAGATCCATATGGGGCCACGAAACGTGTGAGGGGCATGCCGAATCTGGTGCGGGTACGGCACGCGGACTGTGCCGATGAGGCATTCGGTGGAGCTTCCTGTGGGGCCACGAGACGTGTGGGCTGTGCCGAATCGGGCGCGGACACGCCATGCGCACTGTACCCCCGGGGCCTTTGGTAGAGCTCCCTATGGCAGGCCATATGGGGCGACGAGACGTGGAACGGTGTGCCGGATCGGGTACGGGTACGTCATGCGGACTGTACTAGAGAGCCTTCGGTGGAGCTCCCTACAAGGCGTGTATGGGGCCACGAAACGTGTGAGGGACGCGCCGCATCGGCCGCGGGTACGCCATGCGGAAAGCGCCGATGGGGCCTTCGGTGGAGCCCCCTGAAGTGCCACGAAACGTGTGAGGGTGTGCCGTATCGGATGCGGGTGGGCCATGCGGGCTTTGCCACTGGGGCCTTCGGTGGAGCTTCCTAGAGGGTCACGAAATGTGTGAGGGGTCTGCCGAATCTGGTGTGGGTACGCCAGGTGGACTTTGCCACTGGGGCCTTCGGTGGAGCTACCTATGGGGTCACGAAACGTGTGAGGGGTCTGCCGACATGATGAGAAGGAGGGAGGAGAAAGGAGGGGAAATAGAAAAGGAGGACGAGGAGGAGGACGCGGGGGCTGTCGATTCAAAATGAGGACCCAACACCACAGGATGCTCGGTAAAAACCATATCCTGGCGAAGGACCCAGCATAGGAAGCTGGAAGGCGTGTGCCGTATCAGGTGCGGGTACGTCATGCGGACTGTGCCACTGGGGCCTTCGGTGGAGCTTCCTAGAGGGCCACGAAATGTGTGAGGGGTCTGCCGAATCTGGTGTGGGTACGCCATGCGAACTTTGCCACTAGGGCCTTCAGCGGTGCTCCTTATGGGGCCACGAAACGTGTTCGGTGTGTGTGTGTGTGCAAAACCTGATGTAGCTACGCCGTGCGGACTGTGCCGCTAGGGCCTTCGGTGGAACTTCTTATGAATCCACGAAACGTGTGAGGAATGTGCCGAATCTGGTGCAGGTACGCCATGCGGACTGTGCCAGTAGGGCCTTCAGTGGAGCTCCCTAGAGGGCCACGAAATGCGTGCAGTGTATGCCGAATCTGGTGTGGGTACCCCACGCGGACTGTGCCACTGGGGCCTCCGGTGGAGCTCCCTATGGGGCCAGAAACGTGTGAAGAATGTGCCGAATCTGGTGTATGTTTGCCATGTGGGCTGTGCCACTGGGGCCTTCAGCGGAGCTCCGTATGGGGCCACGAAACGTGTTCGGTGTGTGTGCGCGTGGAAAATCGGGCGTGGGTACGCCATGCGGACTGTGCCGCCAGAGCCTTCGGTGGAGCTCCCTAAGAGGAAGCCACGAAACGTGTGAGGAATGTGCCGAATCTGTTGCGGGTACGCCAAGCGGACTGTGCCAGTAGGGCCTTCGGTGGAGCTCCCTATGGGGCCACGAAACGCGTGCGGTGTATGCCGAATCTGGTGTGGGTACCCCATCCGGACTGTGCCACTGGGGCCTTCGGTGGAGCTCCCCATGGGGCCACGAAACCTGCAAGGAATGTGCCGAATCTGGTGTATGTACGCCATGCGGACTGTGCCACTGGGGCATTCGGTGGAACTCCCGATAGGGGGCACGAAACGTGCGAGGGGTGTGCCGTACCGGGTGCGGGCACGCCGTGCGGACTGTGCAACTGGGCCTTCGGTCTTCGGTGGGGCGCCTCATGGGGCCACAAAACATGTGAGGGTGTGCCGTATCGGCGGGTGCGGGTACGACTGTGCCGCTGGGGCATTCGGTGGAGCTCCCTAGGGCCACGAAACGTGTGACGAATGTGCCGAATCGGGTAAGGGTGCGCCATGCGGACTGTGCCGCTCGGGCCGTCGGTGGGGCTCCCTATGGGGCCACGAAACGTGTGAGGGTGTGGGTGCGGGTACGCCAAACGGACTGTGCCACTGCGCCTTCGGTGGAACTCCCGATGGGGGCACGAAACGTGTGAGCGGTGTGCCGAAATGGGTGTGGTGGAGGGGAGAGACAGAGATGGGAGGAGGAAGGAGGGGGAGGAGGAGAGGAGGAGGCGGGGCACTGTCTTTTCAAAAAGAAGACCCCAAACCACAGAGTTTTTGAGAAGAAGTTTTGCTGAAAATGTTGACTGAGTTTCGCGTTCTCGCCTTCTCGGTTGTCCGTCACCCCAAGACGTCCCCAGAGGCCTCCAAAGTGACCCCAAGATGGCCCAAAAGTACTTGAAAGAGCCCCAAGACAGCCCAAGAGGCCCCAGCCCAAAAGGCCCCCAAGGCGGCCCCAAAACGGCCCAAGTGGTCCTCAAGACGGCCCCATGAGGGTCCCTAAACGGCCCAGAGGGGTCCCCAAGACGGCCCTCCGACGGCGCAGGAGGACACAAGATCGCCCAAAGACCCTCTGCAGGCCCCCAAAAGGCGACAAGATGCCCCCAAAAGGCCTCAGTAAAGCTTCCAGGCCAAAGTACACATACTCCACGCCTCGCGAAGCGAGAGGAACCTTAAACACCGATGGCCCGAAGCGATAGGATGCACGACAGCTGCACGGATGCAGTGGCTCCTTTGCAAAACGGGGCTCTCCCTTGAGGTATCCTCCAGGGTTCTCCATGCCGGAGTATGTCAAATGCGCACCACTTACGTACGCGGAGGGAGGAGGGCAGTCATTTTTGTTCGAGACGGGGCTATCGCTAAACATGTCCGTCTACGTTGTGATGCGACCCGCGGAACTTCTGGCAGCTAATGATCCAGAGGGCGGCCTCTTCTCAAGCCGAGGCTCCCGCGCGAGTGGCAGGCACGCTGCCCACAGTGAAAAGGAATGCCTGTAGGGACTTCTGATAAGTGGCATCGGGGTCGGGTGGTGCCTTGCGGCATCACTGGCGCGCCTTGGCTTCACTCTGGCCCTCCTCCTCCTGCTCCTCCTTCTGCTCCCCCTGCCCGCTCCCCGCGGGCCTCGTTCCGAACGCTCGGCTTCATGGCCTGCAGCCTCTTCTCCATGCGCGTCCAGCGCCAGCACACAAGGAACACGCAGACGCTGAAGACGGCCAGGAACATCCAGGCGAGGTTGTATGCGATCCGCACCTTCCGGCGCCGTCTGGCCGCACGACACCGATCCCAGTCAGACAGACCCTGGGCCCGGGATCGAGTGAGTGTGCTCCGATCCTGGGCCCAAGATGGGCCTGGCAAGGATGAGTGTGTCTGTGTGGATTGGCGGCCTCGGGCCTTGTTGTCCCAGACCACAATTGTCGGGTCCCACCTGCGCGAGGGGGGACGCAAAGATCTGCCCTGCAGGAAGCATGGCGGGATGACTGGGTGCGGTAGTCGAGCGCACACGATTTGCGTAGTGCTGCACAGTCGATGTTGTGCCTCGAGGCTGCCCTGCCGCTCTCACCCCCGCCGGCGCCCGCTGGGCTTCCGCCCGCTGCCGCCGAGGAGGCCAGGGCCAACCTCTCGCCTCCCGGGCCTGTCTCTCGGAGGCCACCCAGACGAGGTCCGAGTAGATGGGGCATCGGCGATGCATCGGCGACGTCGGCGAGCCACCAGCGACGTCTGCGTGGAGCTCCACATCGAGCCGCAGCGCAGATGCATCGGTGATACGGCAGCGAGCCAGCGACCCCATCTACTTCGACCCCACTTGGGCTGCCTGGATCTCTGGCATGGCTTGCACGCAGACAACCTGAAGCCAGACTGGCACATGTTCCACACGGAGTAGCAGAACGAGGCCGTCATCAGCATGCACATGTGGCTGGACGTGGTCTCCATGTTGTGCCCGATGTACAAGGACTCAATCCTCTGGTCTGCGTAGGTGAGCCCGTGGCCGAAATCTGCACCTTCGCCGCTGTCCTCCATGATCTGATCCAGCCAGGCATGGAACAGGGGGAATGCCGAATCGTTCTCTGTCGAGGAGGCTTCCGAAGAACCCATTGTCATCAATTCGTTGTCTAAGTCCGCCACAAGCGACTGGATGTGCCCAGATCGGTAGTGCTGAGCTGCGCCCAAATCGTCGTCGTCCAGATCACTGCCTGAACCCGCCGCGAAAATGCTGCGGTGGTGCGTGAGCTCAACAACGTCGCTTTGGTTCTGCTTGCACACATAGTCGCGGAATTGCTGGTAAGATATCGAACCTTGGGCGAAGTCAAGGACCTGCACCTACACCTGACACCCTCCCCCTCCCCCTTGCAGGAACGTCAGGGGGGTAGAAGGGAGAGGAGGGGCAAGGGAAGGAGCATCCACATGATTCAACACCTCCAAAAAACAAACACATGATTACTGGATCCATCGGGCCACCACGTACAACCTTGCTGCTGGTTAAGCACCTGCTGGAGACAAGCTGAGCACAAGCTTAGAATGACAACTGCATTCGCTTCACGTGTATTGCGTTACGCCGCTGCACTTTGCTCTGCCTCGCCCTGCTCTGGCTCGATCTCATTCGAGCCGTGCCGACTTTTCATGCGGCACAGCGCACCGCACTGCCTCATGGGCTGTGATGTGCCTCGCCTTGAACTGCACCGCTCTGCACTGGCAGGAGGAGGAGGAGGAGGAGAAGGAGGAGGAGGTTGGGGAGGAGGAGGAGGAGGAGGAGAAGGAGGAGGAGGTTGGGGAGGAGGAGGAGGAGGAGGAGGAGGAGGAGGAGGAGGAGAAGGAGGAGGAGGAGGTTGGGGAGCAAGAGGAGCGAAGAGGTGAGAGGAGGAGGAAGAAGAGGAGGAAGAAGTGGACCACAGTGCACCGCTTCCCGTGGGTGGGAGCTCTCGCCAAGGGGCGCGGACGAGGTACCCCCCCGCGAGCAAAAGCCCGCCCCCCGAGAGCTCCTGCAGCGGAGCCAAGCAAGCCCAGGGCTCCTGCCGTCACGCATCTCCTCCCCCCTGCCACAGCTTCTCAGGTGTTGTTGCGGACCCCAGGGAGGGGAAGGCTGCACGCGCGGGCGCGACGGATCAGCGGCGGGGCCGACGGAGGCACTCTGGTGAGCGCTTTCTTTTTCGGCGCATCGAGCGGAAGGGGGGCGGGGGAGGGTCTGGCTCCAGACCTCTGCTTCGCGAGACTGTCTGGAGCAGTGCTCCTGGGGAATCCTGTGGGGAGCCGTCCGCCTGCGTGAAAGAGGCGCCCAAAACAGCCAAGATCTACTCCAGGGGGGAGGGGAAAGGGGGGTGCGAGGGCCCGCGCCGATCGGCAAAACAATGAATCAGAAAACGATCATCTCCGGCACGCACACGACAGGCACACAGACGGCGTACCTGAGCGAGCACGGCACCCACTTCTCGGGGCCAGAGCCCCCGCTTCGGTGGGAACTCGTGGGAGCCTCCCATAATTACCATCCTGTTGAGCCTTGCGAATCGACGCTGGTCGACGCTAGTCAACGCTAAATCGACGCTCATCGGCGCTAGTCGACGCTAACAAGACTTGGCGCTAGATGATAGGAATTACCAAACGCCAATCGACGCCAACGCACTCTAAAGACGGCATTGCGCGGATACACCAGGCTCCCGTGACTTGAACCAGCGGCGAGCGAGGGGGGGAAATGAGAAGGGGCGGGTCCTCTCAAAGTCTCGGAAGTCCCCTGGCCTTCTGAGCAGTTTTCTGAGCCTTCCCCAGGGACAAACAAAAAAACCCTCAGAAGGCGCGAGGGCTTCTGAGGAGTCCCGCCGCCTTCTGAGAAGGCCTTCTCCTTCTCACTTCCCCCTTCGCTCGCCGCCAAATCTACTCGGACCCCATCTTCCGAGGCGGGAATTTACACATGACCACCGCCTGGAGGATATCAATTTTCGGGAGCCTCGGCAGGCGGTGGACACGGACATGTTCGGGCCCCCGGGGGCCAAACTATCTGTCCATGTCCACCGCCCGCTGGGGCACCAGGTCGTCGGTTCCCAGGCGGTGGATATGGATAAATCCCCGCCTCGCACATCTATCGGGCGGCGAGATCCATACATATCCACTGCTCCCTGGCCAGGCCCATGCTGAACCCAGGAGCTGTGTGCATGCGGCCTCCTGGCCAAGCCAGGAGGGCTGCTGGGTTCAGGATGGGCCTGGCCAGGGAGCAGTGGGTATGCATAGATTTCGTCGGCCTAGTCTAGGGAGGCTGAAGTATGTGCTTCAATGTGCATGCAGATACTTGCAGATATTTAACACATGAGGCGTTCAAAAAAAGGTCTATCCAGGTCCGCCGCCCCCCTCGCTCGCCGCCGATTGAGGCCGCACCCCGCGGGGGACCCGAAGCGGGTCGGCCGGGCAGCTCCGGGGACGCGGAGCGGTACTACACAGCCGAGCCGGCCAGCGCTGCGGCAGGACGGCCCGCTCGCCGCCGGCCCGCTCGGCCCGCCGCCGCCGACGACGACGACGAATCGACGACGACGACGCGAATCGACGACGACGAATCGACGAATCGACGACGACGAATCGACGACGACGACGACGATGACGACGACGACGACGATGACGACGACTCGACGACGATCACCGCAGGAGAGAACAAGCGGGGCGGCCGCGGCCGTGGGAAGGTCGGAGGCGCGCAAAGGGGGGGCAGGGGGAGGGGGGACGGCCTCTGAGATGGAACCCGCTTCTCTCAAGAGGCGCTGGCCCTGCATCTACAGACGAGGCCAGCGCCCTCTGAGAGGCAGCGGTGCTTCTGAGAAGCCTCACCCGCTCCCCCATTCACCTCCCTGCGCGTGGCCGAGAAGGCCCCCGCCAGCACTCTTGATCGGCGGCGCCATCGGTCGCAGGCGCGCGGGTGTCGTTTCCGGCGGGTCGCGCCGGGCGTGGAGCGCGGCGACGGTTGGAAAAGAGGAGGGCGTCCGTGGAGGGGACCCCTCTTGCACCGACGGCCCAGGACCCCGCCAGGAGCCCGAGCTACGTGCTTCAAAGATGGGTCCTGAGGGATGGGGCCCCAAGGATAGGGAGGGATCCCATGGTGGATTCACATTGCTTGAGGCACCTCGTCCCGAGGGCCCCACCCCTGAGGACCCCACCTGTGACCCATCGACGGGCGGGGAGCGAGAAACCTCCCAGGACGGGCGGCAGAAGCTCCCGAAGGGGGGGGGGGCCAGCGACTTCGCCGTTGCAGAAGAGAGGGTAAAAGTCGGCACGAACGGAACCTCTCGGAGGTCCGCGCCGACCTCCGAAGATCTGTCTATATATTTTTTGTTTTTTATTATTATGTTTTGTTTATTTTTTTTTCATGTTTTTACTGTTTTGTTTAGAAGATCTGTCTATCTTTGTGCAAGCTTGCATCCTTCCATCTGGAAGTTCTGGACCCACCGGGTGCGCCAGGCCAGGCCCGACGACGAGGCTCACTCACGCAGCTGGTGCTCCTGGCGACTCGGCGACTCGGCTCACGCACGCAGCTGGTGCTCCTGGCGCCTCCCGGCGCGGGGGGCGCCCGTGTGGCCGACTGCGGAAACCCTGGACCCAGAAACGTGTCCATCTCTTGGGAGGTCGACTTTTGCTTCCGCCGCCTTCCGCTGACCCTCCGCCGGCTTCCACCGGCGGAGGCGGCCTCTGTCTGACCTGCCGCCGCCCTTCCGCCGCCTTCCGCCGAGGAAGAGATGCCAGCTCCTTCGACCCTCGAAGGCAGGGCTTTTTTTGAACGCCTCATGTGTTAAATATCTGCAAATATCTGCATGCACATTGAAGCACATACTTCAGCCCCCCTAGACTAGGCCGACGAAATCTATACATACCCACTGCTCCCTGGCCAGGCCCATCCTGAACCCAGCAGCCCTCCTGGCTTGGCCAGGAGGCCGCATGCACACGGCTCCTGGGTTCAGCATGGGCCTGGCCAGGGAGCAGTGGATATGTATGGATCTCGCCGCCCGATAGATGTGCGAGGCGGGGATTTATCCATATCCACCGCCTGGGAACCGACGACCTGGTGCCCCAGCGGGCGGTGGACCTGGATAGATAGTTTGGCCCCCGGTGGCCCGAACATGTCCGTGTCCACAGCCTGCCGAGGCTCCCGAAAATTTATATCCTCCATGCGGTGGTCATGTATGAATTCCCGCCTCGGAAGATGAAATCCGAGTGGATACCGCCGATGCATCAATTGAGCAGGGACCCACCCTCCCGGCATTCCTATATCACGAAATGTTCTTAGAGCCCAAAAATGTTCTAAAAACAAAAACAATGTTCTTAGAACATGAACCCGATGCGTTAAAATAAGACGGACTCCGCCAGAACTGTTCTAAGAACATTTCGTGGAAACCACAAGAGGTTCTTAGAACAGTGTTCGGTAGGGCTCTAGGCGAGCCAGGACGCCTCGCCACTGCTGGACCGATGCATCAACGATGCCCCAACGATCAGCGATGCCACCGCCTGCGACCCCCGAGCGCGCGAGGCCCTCTCTCTCTGGGGCGCCCCGTGCCTCGCGCAAAAGGAGCCCGGCGGCGGGGCGGCAAGACCGGCCACCCGCACCGGGCTTCGCCACCCTCCCCTTCCCTGCGGCAGGGGGGGGACGATCCCAGACCTCCTCGAGCACTGAAAAAATCACGAAGGGAGGCTTTTCACCATTTTCGGCCTCTGGGGGCCCTTCCCGGGCTTCGGGGCCGTCAAAGAACTGCTGGGGACGAAAAACCGGTCCCGGGGAATACATAGGTCGAGACCTCTGGGGGTCGACGTTACGAAAAAAACATTACGTCGGGGGTCTGGGTCCCCCGTTCCCCAAAACTCAAAGTTGGCACGCGCGGGGGAGACCGCGGTCGAACTGCAACTCATCAGACCCACCGCCAACCTTGAACAGTGGGGGGAGGGGGAGGCGTTGACCGACGAATGTGGCGTGCATGTTCGCCGTGTGTATCCGAGGCCTGAATCGCCCCCTCTCGCCCGGCCTACGCCACGGAAACACACACTGTAGAAGCTCAACCACAAGAAAACTTCCGCAAGAAACCCAACCCTGAGACCCCAGGACGTCCACTGATGTTTGGTGTGGGAACGTCACGCTTTCCACAGCGAAACCATCGAAACCCCAAGAAAGGCACCCTGGAGGCAAGCAGGGTGTTTCTTGGCATGGGTTTCCACTGTATACAGAGGCACTCTCCGACGAATTTCGCGTGTACCTTCAGGGAGGGGGCGGTGTATAAAATCGCTGGCCCTCACTGCTGATTCGTGCACCGCCATCCTCCCCTGAGGCCCAGGAACAGTCCAGAGGAGGGTGTATGTGCACAATTTCCCTGCGGCGGACGACCCGACAAGTGTTCCGCCCCCTGGCCTTGCTTCTGCGACACCTCCTCCATCACCTCGTCCACGGTCTTCCCGTCCGGCAGCACGTCCAGCGTCAGAGACGTGCCCCCTCCTGCCGCGCTTGCCCGAGGGGAGCGCCCCGGAGAGGCGCAGGAGAGGCTCTGGAGGCGCCTCGGTGCCCACGCGCCCGAGGAGGAGGCGGAGCCAGGACTCGGCGGCGAGCGACGGGGCCACGAGGGAGAGGCCTTCTCAGAAGGCGGCGGGGCTTCTCAGAAGCCCTCGCGCCTCCCGAGAAGTGCTGTGCCTTCGGAGAGGGCTCAACTGCCCTGTGACGTTCCCAACCCAGTTGCATCACGAGGAGTTGGCCCAAACTTGCCAAGACAATGATGGTGCAGGCGCCGTTAGATGGTGTGCAAAGCTGCGTGGGACGCGCTCACGTGACACGATTCACAAGACGACAACAGAAGGGCGAGGAGCGAGAGCCCGGGCTTGAGGAGGACGTGGCGGCGGGAACGAGGGGCAAGAGAGGGACGCGCGGGGGGGGCCGACCCGTCAGCGCGGCAGCAGCAGAGGGAATGTGGCAGGGGGCGGAGGACGACGAAAGTGACGGGAGGAGATCGAAGAGTGTTGCTCGTGGGTGGTAATGTCGCTGCGGCGCACAGTTTCGCAGATCGCAGCCCCCCAAAGATGGCGAGGTCTAATGTGAGTCTGGGTGGTGCCTCCCCCCAAGAGGCCTCGAAAGTGGCGACAGTTTCGCAGATCGCAGCCCCCCGGGGATGGCGAGCTCTAATCTGAGTCTGGGTGGTGCCTCACTCTGTAGGACACCCCAGCAGCCCTCGAAAGAGGCGACAGTTTGGCAGATTGCAGCCCCCAAGACATGGCGAGGTCTAATCTGAGTCTGGGTGGTGCCTCACTCCGCTGAACCCCCCAGCAGGCCTCGAAAGTGGCGACAGATTGCCAGATCGCAGCCCCTCGGGGATGGCGAGGTCTAATCTGAATATGCGTGGTGCCTCACCCCGCTGAACCCCCCAGCAGCCCTCTAACGTGGCGAGGTTCAGGCAGGAGGAAAGATGAGAGGAGGAAGGAGGCGGGAAGGGAGGAATGAAGGTGTGCGACCGCAGTGCTCTATTCGAAACGAATACCCAACGCAGGAGGGTTGGGAAAAAACTTATCAGAAGGCCAGGGGGGCTTCCGAGCCTTCTGAGAAGGCCCGCTCCTTCTCACTTCCCCCCAGGGCTCGCAACCGAAAGACGGGGCATGAATGAACGAACTGCCCCTGGGACACTCGGTCGTGAACTCCTGAACGTTATATCCCTTTTGATTCTTTTTCAATATAAAAAAACTTGTTTGCTCAGCGGGCCGCGGCGGCGGCCCCTCTGCCACACGCCATGCCCTGCAGGCTGCTGGAGCGTCGCCCTGCCTCGTGGGGGCGGCAGGCTGCGAGAAGCTCGGAGCGACGCGCTGCCTGCGGACCGCGACGTGCGCTGCGCGTCGCGCCGAGGCATGGTGGGCCAGAACCAGCGGCGCTCGTGACCCTTGCCTTTGCTTGCCCCGATGCCTTCCTGGCCCTCTGCCACTGCTTGCCCACGGCACCCTCTCAGGGCCCCTTGGGCTCCATCTTTGCCACGCGATGCCCTTGCGACACGGTGCCGTCACGACGGGGCCACAGCGCAGCACCGACACGGGACCCTTGCGATCCAGCGGTCGTTCGGATGCCTGGACACGCACCCGCAATGGACCCCTGTGTGCCCAAGACGGAGACAGCACGGTGCCCGGAGGTGATGCCTGGATTGGCCGGCCGCGTGCCCCAAGAATGTGCCCCCAAAAACCATGCTGTGCCCAAGGCAAAAGGCTCGGTGCCCAAAATTGTGCCCCAAGTGGAAGCGGGCAAACGGCGCGGAACATCCTCGCATCCGAAGCAACTCTGGACACAACGCAAATGCAAAAAACGTTTGAGACACCCCTTTGGGCACCATTTGCGGAAACGGCGCAAAGACGTTTGGGTAATTACCGTGGAGCAGGTGCCTTCGGGCACAGGACCTCCCGAGATGGACCGACGGCGGCCGCGTCGGCAGGGGCGCCCGTGAGTTCGAGCGGGCTCGGGCACAAGGCCCCGAGCCCGACGACAGGAATCCTCGAACCCGCGGCGCAGGTCCCTCGGGCAAACGACACAGGCCCGCGGGAACAGCATCGCGGGTCCCCAGGGTCGCGGCGGAGGCCTCGGAGGCAACGAGGCAAACTGTCGCTGCTGTTCTTCAACATCACCGCCACGCGTGGCGTCTGAAGCACGAAGGTGCGCGCCGCACGCTGGACAATCTCCTCGCGCGCACGTCTGGTGCACGTCGCGACAAGAGGGACGATGGGGCACAAACGAGTTCGGAGCACGCCCACTTGAGTTTTTGGGCCCGTCCTACTATGACCCCTCGGGCGGCCCAAGAGACCTTCAGGAGGGCTCCGAGACGAGCCCCAGGCCGCCCGGGGGGGGGGGGCCTGGCCCCTCAAACCCGGGGCAGGAAGCGCGGAGCAGCACTGCGGAGAGGCGGAGGCGAGGGGCGAACGCTGGGACAGTGGCGAAGCTGGCGACCAGCATGTGCAGCTCAGTGCCCCTCCGGAGACCGACCGACCCGTCTTGGCCGCGTGCTGGGCCGCGGTGCCGCGAGCAGCCGCCGACTGGTTTCCCTCCTCCGCCCATGCTGCGCACGAGGACGAGGACGGCAGGTTTGGCGCACGAGGACTTGCGGCGCTCGGAGGAGCCAGGGGCGGCGCTCGGCTCCGAGGGTGGGGGCCTCTCTTGCTCGGCGCGCGGCGGCGGCGGCCCCTGCGACGAGCTGCGCCACCTGCAGGCGTCCGCGCGTCGCCCTGCTCGGTGGGGACTGGAAGCCGGGGAAAGCTCCAGAAGCAGGAGGATCTGCATCAGCATTAATGTCAATAGGTCCGCTCAGATTTTTGGGATCGCGCTGGGGCCTCCTCCCTGCGCCGCGCGCCGCACGCCAGCGGCGGCGACGGAGGCGCCGCCAGGGGGTCCAGCGCCGACCCAAGGAATCCGCGCGGAGGTCCACAACTGCTCAGGCACGTCTAGTGTGGATGCTTCTCCTTCGAAGTTCGGAACGTTGATGTCTAAGGACCAGTTGGCACGCCCGACACAAGTACGGGAAACATAGGGACGATACCCAACAGCGAATATTGTCCACCACTGAGAGCGGCCGCTGTTGGGCAGGCTACTGTCGTCTCAAAAAGACAGCGTCCACAGCGGCGCCGACGGCGAATCCTGCTCAAAATGGGCGAGAACCTTTGTTGGTCTGCGTACAGACCGTTTCCGTACCAGCCCCTCGGCCCCCCCGAACTGGGGCGTGCTCCGCGCGTCGCGCCCGAGCCTCCAGCAAGCGAGCTCAGCGCGCAGATTGAAGCGCAAGCCTGGCGCGACGCGCTGGCAGACGACGGCGGCAGGCCGCCGCGGGTGCCCCGAAGTTCGTCGGGGACCTGGCGCGAGCGGGCGGGCGCAAGGCTCCCCGGGGGCAGCGCGCTCTGGGCGGGCCCACCCGTGCCGAGCCGCCACGCGCGTTCAGAGCACGCAGGAGAGCTTTCCCCCGCACGCGGGCACCTTTTTTGAGGGTGCGGCGGGTGCGGCGCCCGAGCGCCGGGGATGCAGACAGGTCGCGCGTCTGTCTTGCTCCCTTCGCATGTGTGGTGCGGTGCAGCCGCAGGCCCGGAGAATCTCTCCCGATACGTTGTCGACGCAGCGTGCAGCACCTCTGCGATATCATGCGTCGCCACGCCTCTCCCTGTCGCTAACTGCTGCTGCGCTGCCGAGGATCTTCAGCTCCGATTGAAGTGTCTGGAGAAATCGATTCCTCGAGAAAAGAAGGCGCGACGCGCAGGCAGCAAAGACTGCTCGCCGACCCGTGCGTTCGGCCGTGCTGCGAGTCTCCGGCGTCTGTCCAGGCCGTTCAGCCAGGGCGCTTTGAACACGGCACGCGTGGCGTTGCAGCAGGGGCGTGTCGGGGCAGCCGAGGCGCCGTCTCGGGCGTCCCGAGGGCAGGCCGCGGGCGCTCGCCTCCGCGCCTCACGCGCCCCGCGAGGCGCAGCGAGCGTGGCGTCGCTGCGCTCTTGCGCGCGGTTCTCAAGGAGAGGGGGGGGAGGGGGGGAGGAGGGGGAGGAGGGGGGCAAGAAGGGGAGGAGGAGGGGAGAAGGAGGACGATGTGGAAGAGGAGGATGGACATGCAGGAGGAGGAGGAGGAGGAGGAGGAGGAGGAGGAGGAGGCGGAGTCGATGGCAGATCAGACGGACGCAGGAGGGGCAGGGGGCGAGAACGGGTCGGGAAAGAGAGAGAGGGGGAGGAGGAGGACGAAAGACACGGAAGCACCACCCCGTCCCCAGGCGAGGGAACTCTCTCCGGCCCCGTCCGCGCGGGCCGACGGTCTCTGGCACCGCGCGGATCCTTCGGCATCGGCCGACGATGGGCCACCCGCGGCGCTCAGCCTGGAGCGTCCGCGCGGGGGGGGGGGGTCACCTCCGCCGTGCCGACGCGGCGCGCACCTGCCGCACCCCTCAGGGGAGGGGCAGCGCGGGTCCTGCCAGCAGCTGGCGGAGCTCCGACATGGATATCTGCCCGTCTTGGTCCCTGTCGATCCGCACACCCTCCGCGCGGGGCGCCGCCTGCGGATGAGCCTCTACAGGGGCCCCGCCCGTCGCGCCTGGAGGGAGGAGGAGGGAGGGAGGAGGGAGGACCAGCACGCTCGACTGCATGAGCACGGTTGTCTCTGGAGCCTGCCGCACTATGCTGGCCGGTTCCGGGCTTGCGCGAGGGTTTAAAAAAAAATGCAAAATCACCGCTGCATCAGCTCATCCTCTCAGGGGCCTGCCTGCGGGAGCTCTCTGCAACTGCAGGGCCTTGCCACTGTTCGGGCACACCCGCGGGCAATCCGTCTGACAGCCCTCGGAACCTGGTTCGCCGCATGGGCCGCACTTGCGGCACGAAAGCATGCCGCAGGGGACAGCCCCGCTGGCGCAGCCGAGGACACTGACCTCGTGCCCACAAGGATGGGCCAGCAACTCCGCCTGGTGCGCGGGGCACCCAGGAAAGCATTCGGGCTCTCGCTCGACGAAGTCTGCGCTGGCTGCCACAGCCGACTCGGCAGTCCGTGTCGGTCCAGCGCCCGGCCGAGCTTGTGCCACTGGCGGGCCTGCCCAGGTGCTGCCTCCGGGGGTGGGCGGAGGAGGCGGCCCTCGGCAGGGGGTGGAGCTTCGCCTACCTGGGAGGGGCACTGCTGAGACCGCCCCCGTGTGCGGGCTTCAAGACTCCTCTGGTCGGGCGAGTGCTCGGCCTCCAGCCTTCGGGGCCGCCGTGGGCCATAGCTGGAGAGCCTCGGCCGCATACTCGCGGATAGCGGCCCGGCAGCTTGCCATCTTCGCACGCGGGCTCTGCTTCAGGGCGCCTCCTGGTTTCCTCTCCTCCCTCTCCTCCTCCCCTTCTAGGCCTTCTGGGAGGCCTCGTCGCCACGGATGGATGTGGCTCGGAAACTATGTCAGGCTGGTGCCCAGAGGGGTCTCGCCTTGGTTCTGAGTTCTCCTCCTCCCCCTCCTCCACATCCTCCTCCCCCCTCCTCCTCCTCCTCCTCAGCCCCCATATTCCTCCTCGGCCTCGTTATCCTCTTTCTCCCCATCTACCTCCACATCATAATCATAATCTTGGTGATTATCCTGATCATAATCGTCATCGTCCAGTTTCTCTTCAAAATCATCAACATCGACACCGTCATCATCAGCGTCATCATCCTCATCATCATCATCATCATCATCATCATCATCATCATCATCATCATCATCATCATCAGAATCATCATCATCATCATCATCATCAGCAGCAGCAGCATCGTCATCATCATCATCAGCATCATCATCAGCATAATCATCATCATCAGCAGCAGCATCATCCTCATCAGTATCATCATCAGCATCATCAGCACCATGATCAAAATCAGCATAATCAACATAGCATCAGCATCAGCATCAGCATCGTGATCATCGCCATCATCATCATTATCAGCATCATCATTGTCGTAATCAGGATCACCATCATCATCAATCAATAAGTCAGTCAATCAATCAATCAATCACTCATTCACTCACTCGCTTACTCACTCAATCCATCAATCATCCTCGTAGTCACTACCATCATCATAATCATCATCAGTTGTTGCAGCATCACCCTCATCATCACAACCACTATCAACAGCATCCTCATCACCCTCATCATCCTCCTCATCACCACCCCAATCATCATAATCATCAGCAGCAGCAGCAGCATCATCATCACCATCATCATCACCATAATGCTCATCAGCAGCATCATCAGCATCATCGTCATCATCATCAGCATCATCATCGTCGTCAACTTGATCCTCATCGGCGTCGTCGCCATCATCAATAACAGTATCAGTACCACCATCATCATCAGCAGCATCATCAGCATCATCATAACGTCACGTCACGTCGTAACCGTCGTCGTCACCCTCTCATCAATCTTCCCTACGCTCTCCTCTCCCTCCCTTCTCTCCTCCCTCCTGCTTCCTTTCCTCCTCCCCCTCCTCCTCCTCGGCCTCCTCCTCCCTCCTCACCGTCCTCCTCCCCATTCCCCTCCTCCTCCTCCTCCTCCTCCTCCTCCTCCTCCTCCTCCTCCCCCTCCTCCTCCCTGGACCACTCGCGGCCGGTGCAAGCTGGGGTCGCGCCTTCAGGCAAGGGAGGGTACCAAACCCTGACCAGTCTGGCACGCCGCAAGACCTTTCTGTTGCGAGGGCCGTGCCACCGATCAACGGCAGGTTCGCGTCGCAATAACGTGGGCGACCTACCGCACTTGGTGTGGCGCCGGGCCCGGTCGGACGCCAAGAACTTGGTGTCGGGCATCCGCTGTCAGAAAACCTAGGGGGCGTCCTCGAAGAAGGTATGAGGGAAGAAGGTCGAGGGTCCTGCATAAACGCGGCCGGTTCGCGTCTCGACGACTCCGGCGTTGGCTTCTGACACCTCGTGGACCGTTCCACCTTGAGCGACCGCAGCTGCCCGATAGCGCAGACGATTCGATATCGACCGCCGCGTCAGCGGCGCGCGAACCTGCCATAAGTAGACGAGCGCGTTCCACTACCCGCAAAGTAACTACTCGCAAACGGCCTGGATCCCCCGCGGGGGATCTACGATAAATTACACCGAGGTAGACATGTGTTTTTTGGACGTTTGCGAGTAGGCACTTTGCGAGCAGTAAAACGCGCTCGGTGCACAAGCAAACGCGCGCGGGAATGAGTGCGCAGCGTCGGCGGCACTCGGAGGGCCGGAGGGCTCTGGGCCCTCCTGGGGGCCCGGGACTGGCAAAGCCGGCGCGCGCCTCGAAACGCAGGCTTGAAGGGGCCCTGGGACACACAAAGAAATACACACAAATAAAGGATTCCCAATATTTTCCCATATTTCCTCTGTTTTGTCTTCCCCCCCCACTTCCCATATTTTCCCATATTTTCCGGGGGAATCGACGATTAATTGTGTCTGTGTGTTTTTCTCCCTCCTGAAGGCTCCAGCATCCCGAAGACGACGGAGGGCCTGTCGGCACGCCCGCCGGTCGTCCAGGAGTGCACGACTCGGCAGCCTCTCCCGAAGAGCAGGGAGCGCAGCGGCTCTCAAGGGAGGATCGCCGGGGGGAGCAGCGCGGGCCGTGCTCTCCGGGGGGGCCTGTGCCCGGGGAGGTGAAGAGAGGGCCCACCTGCTGCAGCCATCGATCCGGCCCCATCTTACCGCCCCCCCTCCCTACGAAGCACCTCCGAGCGCCTTCGCAGCGCCTGAGGTACACCAGAGGCCCCAGAGAGGGCGTCGCCAAGCCCAGGCCACGAGGAAACAAGAAGGTATATATATATATATATATATATATGTATATGTATACCGATACCGCTGCTCCCTGGACCTCTCTCCAGGGGTGCGTTCCGACCGGAAGTTCGGGGCGCGTCCAGCGGTGGCGACGAGGGCCGCCCAGGAGGTCCGGGGACGCAGGGGGAAACGAGGCGAAGGCAGTGGTATCGGTACCTCTTCCCCCCTCTGGAGGACAGCTTAATTAATCGAACGAGCGCCGGGCCGACCGAGGCCGAGCTGCGGCGGCGGCGGCCGCGAGGCTCGCGGGATGAGGCTGAAGGCGTAGCGCAGGAGGCGCTCGGAGACCTCGCCCTCCAGCCGCAGAGCGGCGGCCAGGAACTCCGTGTAGGAGACGCAGTGGTCCTGGTTCATGTCCTCAGGGTGGAGGCCTCTCACCCCCCCGTGCAAAAAAGCAACTGGCGCTGTTCTACACACCTCCCCCCCCCAACCCCCACAATTTCAATGTTCCACGCGGTGACGAGTTGTTTTTCGAACTTCGCCGGTCGCGCGATCAACATTGAAATGGGGGGCCGGGGGGCTCACCAAACACCAGTTGCTTTCCGCACGGGGTGGAATGGGGGGCTCACCAAACACCAGTTGCTTTTCGCACGGGGTGGTAGATTGAAGGGGCCCAGGAGCATACAAGGTGTTAAATATGTTCTGGAGTTTCGTCTTCCCCCCCACTTCCCATATGTTCTCTTACTTTCATGGGGATCGACGATTCATTGTGTCGGTGTGTTTTGTTCCCCTCCTGATAAATCGGGTCCGAGCAGATGGGGCCGGAGGATCATGGAGGATCGCGCCACATCGCCGATGCATCACCGACACATCGACGATGCGTTGACGATGCATCGGCGACGTCGGCGGTGCGTCGGCGATGCGTCGGCGCAGAGAATACCGGGCTCCTCACCGAGCCGCGTCGCCGATACATCGGCGATGCAGAACGATCCTCCGACCCCATCTACTCCGACCCCATCTAGGAGGCCTGGAGAGGGCGATCCCCCCGCTCAGGCAGGCAGATCCACGGCCCAAACATCTCGGGTGCTGCCAGAGGTGCCCGTGCCCCAAGGTGCCTCCGCTTCGCAGCCGATCGGGGGCCCCCTCTGGGCCTCGTGGGGAGTGCCCTGCAGGAAGCGGGGGCCTCCCTGGCACTCCCGGGGACTCCCTGACAGCATTCACCTGGGCAAGACGAAGCCAAGACGACGATAACATCGGGTGAGGACAAGTCGGGAATCTCTGAGATCCAGCGGCTCTGGAGGATGTCTCCGGCGTCGCGGCCTTCTCAGACCGTTCCGGAGCGCTCCGAGAGCGTTGCGGAACGCCCTGGAGCGGATGCATCCTCGTCCTAGCCCCGTCCGACCTCGGGACTCCCTGACAGCAGCGACCTGGGTCGCCCAGCGTCGCGCGTCGCGCCCCGCGACGCGTGACGCGCGACCCTCTCCACGCCATCGCGCCCCGCGCCATCGCGGAGGCGCGCTGGCCCGGACCGCGACGGCCTTCGCACCCCCAGGCCAGGGACACCCCGGGCCGCCCCAGCAAGCAGAACCCCGTCGATCGGGGGCCCCGACCCGCAGATCGGCACAGGAACGGGCGAACGACGGATCGGTCAGGCCAGCGGCGGATCAGGGTGCCCTATTCGCCCTCCTCCATGCCTGCTCCTCCTCCTCCTCCTCCTCCTCATCCTCCTCCTCCTCCTCCTCCTCCTCTTCCTCCTCCTCCTCCTCCTCCTCCTCCTCCTTCCTCCTCCTCATATCATCATCATCATCATCATCATCATCATCATCATCATCATCATCATCATCATCATCATCATCACATCATCCATCATCATCATCATCATCATCAGCATCAGCATCATCATCATCATCAGCATCAGCATCAGCATCAGCATCAGCATCATCATCATCATCATCATCATCAACATCATCATCATCATCATCATCATCATCATCGTCATCGTCATCGTCATCGTCATCGTCGTCATCATCATCATCATCATCATCATCAGCATCATCATCATCAGCATCATCATAAACCTCATCATCATCAGCAGCAGCGGCATAATCATAAACATCATCACCATCATCATCATCACCATCATCAGCATCATCATCAGATACATCATCAGCATCATCATCACCATCATCCTCATCATCATCATCATCGTCATCATCATCATCATCATAATCATCACCATCAGGAGCATCATCATCGTCATCAGCATCGTAATCATCAGCATCATCATCAACATCACCATCATCATCATCATCATCTTGATCATCATCATCATCATCATCATCATCATCATCATCATCATCATCATCATCATCGCCAGCAGCATCATCAGCATCATCATCAGCAACAGAAGCAATATCAGCACCAGCACCATCATCATCATCATCAGCATCATCATCATCGTCGTCAGCATTATTACCATCACCATCAGCATCAACATCAACATCCTCATCACCACCAGCATAATCAACATCACCACCAGCATCATCATCGTCATCAGCATCATTACATCACCATCACCATCACCATCAGCATCAGCATCAGCATCACCCGAATCATCGTCTTGTCATCATCAGCAGTATCACCATCATCATTGCCATCCCCATCGTCATCCCCATGTCATCACCATCCCCGCCAGCACCACCACCAGCAGAACCTTCCCCATCGGCGTCATCATCATCCTAAGCTGCGTCACCAACGTTATCGCAATCCACATCATCATCAGCATCACCAGATTCATCGTCAGCATGATCATCATCAGATGCATCGTCATCAGCAGCATACTCAGCACCATCACTATCGTCGTCAGCATCATCATCGTCACAAGCCAAATTAGCATTATCATCACCGTACGCGTCATCATCCAGCTCGTCCTCCACCTCAGCATCATCAGCAACATTATCATCATCATCATCATCAGCAGCATCAGCAGCATCATCGGCATCATCAACATTATCAGCATCCGCATCATCATCAACAAAATCCGCCTGCTTCTGGAAGACACCGTTCCCCCAATTAGCCTCAACTATATGCAAAGCATGAGCACCATCATCATCAACATCTTCCTATCCCTCATCCTCATGTTCTGTCATATACTCCGCCTCCGTCCCCGCAGCTTGCTCCACATCGACATCAGCATCGTCGTCATCATCAAGGGCATCATCATCATCAACAACAACGACATCATCATCATAAGCAGACCAAGTATCAGAATCCCCACCCGCATCCTCATATTCTCACTTATCCTCATACTCGTTATCATCCTCCTCATCATCATTATCATCCTCGCCCGCCCCTATCATCAGTCTTCCCCCTCCCCCTCCCTCGTCATTTTCCTCCGCCCTGAGTGACGGATCGGGGATATCCTCGTCGTCCTGCCACGAATTCCTCACCGACATCCTCAACGTCATCATCGACGTCATATTCCTGTCAATCATCATCGTCATCGGCACCGCCAAAGTCATCATCAACATCATCGCCAGCATCATCATGTCGCTCCTCCTCCTCATCATCATCACCCTCAGCAGCACCATCATCCCTGCCGATCTTCACTCACGATCCTCCTCATCCCCCTCCTGAGCCATCATGATGTTCCTCCTCCTCCGCCCTTGCAGATGGATCGGAATCTTCCCTAGACTAGTCTCCAGGATGGGCATCAGCGCCTCCGCATTCTGCTGGATGCCGAGCAGCTTGAGCCCCTGCGGGCAGCCACAGGCTACGCTCTGGAGGACGTGCCCCCCTGCGGAGAGGGAGGACGAAGACGACGCGACGAGTGAGGACAGAGAGGAGAGAGCGGCATGGATTGATTGATGATACGGCGGAAACCAGGTCAAGCCTGGGCGCTGCAACACACCCGAGTCAGCACATCATGCAATTGCACGCCCAAGCCAGAGCTCAGGGAACTCCATTCAACGCTTGGCGATAAGCCTCAACGGAGGCGAGACGAGAGGCAAAGCCCCTTCTCTCGCAGGTGCCACGAGCCCACATGCGCTCTGACGCTGCAGGCGCCCGACTCCCACGCTTGGCATGCTAGGTGTCTACGTGCACTCGGAGATGTATTCAGTGTGCAGTGCTATGTTGTCTTACCGGGGCAGCAGAGGAGCGCGATACAAACGTAGCACGCAGACCTCCCCCCACCTCCAGTTATGACCCTGCCCCGCGCCATAGAGTGGCGCCACATTGACAAGACGACCCCCCACACAAGGTGCCTGTCTTTCCTACTGGCCGCGAACTTTGCCGCGCTCGGGGCGAGGGCGAAGCCTCTGGGCTCCAATCTGAGTTGCTCAACTATCAACCCCAATCGGCACATCATCAAACGGTACGCCCAACTCAGAGCTCACGGAACTTCAGCACTTTGGCGCCAAGCCTCGACGGAGGCGAGACAAAACGCTGGCGCCCGCCTTTGCGGGCTTGCGCCGAGGAGAGGGCGACGGCTGGTTGCAGGAAGGAGGGAGGCGGTCCAGGGTGCTCCAGGATGCTCTGGAAGGTTCTGGGGTCTTTTCTGGGGACAGAGGAGGAGGAAAAGGAGGAGGAGAAAGAGGAAGGTAAGACCAAAGGAAACTCCGTTCTGGCCCAGGTCCCCTCCTCACAAGTCCTGACAAGTATTCCATTCCACTGCAGGCAGCCAGCGCCCCCTTGGAAAAACTAGCGCCCCGAGCCTACCATTCAGGCGAGAGCCGTTTGTTCTGCGGAATCGCCCTGCATGCATCGAGCTAAAGATATGCAAAAAAAGTATGGGCGTGAAGTCCAAGGAGGTCTCCAGCGAGAGTCCTGTTGTGCAAAGAATCGCCCTGCGACAGTAAAATTACTCTATCATGTAAGTCTTCTGGCCCCACCATTCGGAAAAGACCAATGTTAGAAAGGAATCATCCTCGGTCGTTGCACATGTTGGGCAATCCGAAACGTCTGGTCATACGAAAACGAGAACGCCAAAAGAGTGCCCCATTGTGAAAAGGAGTGACCGTCCATCCTTCGAACAGACTGCGTGCGTGGCGTCAAAACGCCAATCACATGCTGAGATCGACACAAGGCTCATCCTTGCTATTGCTGATTTGTTACGGAAAGTGTTAAGGTGCTGAAGCAAGAGCCACCAGTCTGAAAACGGGCCTCTCTCCCTCTTCTACCTGTTGAACATGTCAAGCTTCAGGGCCAAGCTAAACGCCTGGTCCGCCCGACCGACATGACTGGTGGCGCGACGAGGAAGAGGTACGTTCGACTACACGTACGAGTGACACTCGGCTAGAATGACCTTGGTGCGCGGTTTCAAGGGCGCCCGTGGGGCCCAACGCAATCGCGCAAGCCGGCGATGCCGCGCTGCATCAATGATCGGCGGGGCGCCACTCGAAATATTTTTCGTGCCAGCGGGCAACCGCGGAATTCCGCCGATTGAATTTGAACGCCCCAATGGCATTTTCAAGGCGCTACGAAAGCAAATGCTGCCGGGGCCACTGCGATGAGGTCTGGCACTGCCGGGCTGCATCGCGATGACGTCTGACCAAACACGGCGTCATGGCCAAAACTGGTCCCATCCGAGAGCCTGGAATATATTTGAATATCTTCGGGTACTTGTAATAGTAAAGACCCTTTCAACATATCCAAATGTATTCCAATATATTCAAAGATATCAAAAAATATCCGAAGACATTCAAGCCAGACGTTTTGGGACTTGGGCTGGAATTCAGGACTGGTCCTGGGCCGGAAAAAACGCGCCGTCTGGTCGACCAGCTCCCCCGCGGGTAACCAATGCAAACTGTAGGGCGCGTTGCTGTCGATTGCAAGGGGTGGGCCCAAACCTGGCGCGCTCAGATGCCAGCGTAATCACGCGATGCGGGTGCTGACGCGAGGTCAAGTTCATTCAACAAGAAAAATCACCCGACCCCCTTTGGGCCAGCACCAAAGTTAACTCCGGCGAAGGAAGCGAGACGGAGAAAAAGCAGAGAAGGGTAGAACTCTCACCTACTATCCTAGACATCTCGTATATTTGATGCTCTGGGTCTGGGTGGCATTGCGCGCGAAGTACTTGTTGGCGCCCCCCCCCTCCAATGTCAGCCATCGTGGAGCTTCGGAGTCGCACCCGACGGGGGCCGCATTTCGCTGTGCTTCGACATTGAATGGAGGACAAAGACCATATCAATGACACGCTACCGTGGGGAATCCATCAGCGCGTCACTGTTGAAGAACTCCATGCCTTCGGACAAAGGATTGCAAAAAAACCGAAGGATTGCAAAAAAAACCGAAGGATTGCAAAAAAACCCTGGATTGCAAAAAAACCCAGGATTGCAAAAAAACCCAGGGTTTTTTTTGCAATCCTGGGTTTTTTTGCAATCCTTCTTGGGTTTTTTTGCAATCCTTCATCAGCGCGTCACTGTTGAAGAACTCCATGCCTTCGGACAAAAAAGAAGGGGTGCCACCCTGACTGGCTGGGCTGCCAACGGTGGCATGATATCGATTCTCTCCCCCCGACTGAAAGGCACAGCACTGAAGGGTCGAAGGAGGGCGACACTGAAGGGGCGTGTCGACCATTTGTGAGGATGGTTGCGCCGAGGGCTATAAAGCACCAACTTCGTGCCCAGAGCTCGATCATCTTCGCGTCTCTGCGCCACCCCCTAGGGGAAGGACGGCCTCCCCCGCCCAGGCCACCAGGCGCGATTCCCAGACATCCTGGCGCCCTTGCGGATGAGCTGCAGCCGAGACAGCGATTACAGTCAAGACGCTGAAGTAAGGAACGCTTTGGGCTCAGGAGGGGCTCTGGTTATCGGGCCGCTCCTCGGAAGCAGGCCGGGGGACCTGTCCGCGACCAAGTCCCGCTGTGGTCAGAAAAGCCCCTTCGTTCCCTGTTTGGCGTTCCTCACGGTAGCGCGATGACTGTAAGAGCAGGCTCTCCCAAGAAAACGGGACCATCTCTCTGGTGCCACATGGAGCAGACGCCTGGACAAGGCCTGCCCTTCCCAGCCTCGCACACGTGCTGGAGGTCTGGAAGCGAGGTCAGCATCCAGGAGGTTGCCGAACAGAGATGGACGCCTTCCAGGCCAGCGCCCGAGCTCCTATCAAGGCCATCTGGCGATCAGCTAAATCGTCAGAGCCAGACGTTGTAAGATTTCTCCTGGATCTCGCTGTTGGGAGTTCAGAAGAAACTGAGACTGCAAGCATGGATACAATTCGTCCTTCATTCGGGGGTTGGACCACCATGAATACCATATCTTATGGGATGCAAGTGCACTTCATCCACGCATCGATCATCGCAGAAGACTTCGGCCATGACTCCTCTGGAGCGTCGTGAAAGGCCTTGACAGTACCCTCAGTTCCTGACACCAGCACTCCCCCCCCCTCACCCTCAACTTGCTTCTCGTCTCATTCCTCATGTTCCTCCTCCTCCTCCTTCTCCTCCGCCTCCTCCTCCTCCTCCTCATCCTCCCTCCCCTCCTCCTGCTCTCCTCCTCCTCCTCTCCTCCTCCTCCTCCTCCTCCTCCTCCTCCCTCCTCCTCTCCTCCTCCTCTCCTCCTGCTCTCCTCCCTCATCGCCCCGCCCCCCCCCTCCTCCTCCTCCTCCTCCTCTCCTCTCCTCCTCCTCCTCCTCTCCTCCTCCTCCTCCTCCCCCTCCTCCTCCCTCCTCCCCTCATCCCCTCCTCCCTCCTCCTCCTCCTCCTCCTCTCCTCCCCTCCTCCCTCCTCCCTCCTCCTCCTCCTCCTCCTCCTCCTCCTCCTCCTCCTCCTCCTCCTCCTCCTCCTCAATAGTAATGCTAAGACTATTCGTATGCGTATTATTGGTATTGTGTTTATAACCATTCGTCGCGATAGTCGTGGCAGAAGCATTGCCGGTAGGTTTGTACATACTCGTAAGCATCGTAATATGACGATGACTCCTAGTATTATTAGTATTAGACTTACTCCTGACTATCAATACTAATAGTAGTAGCGGTATTCTTCTCACCAATCGTACTATTAATGGTAGCCTTAGTTTGACTAGTAGTACTACGAATGTTATACATATGGCAACTATTGGTACGAATATCATGACTACTACGGCTATGGTAAAGAATATCACTCTTACTCGTACGGTATTACGCCTCGTGTCATTAACGTTGTCTGTTATGAGTCGTATCAGCATCATTATTAGTAGTCCTACTATTACTGCGAATACGATGACTAGTACTGTTAATGTTACTCGCATTATCATCATCCATACTATTAGTATGTTTCCTATTCCTCTTCCTCTTCTTCCTCATCCTCCTCCTCCTCCTCCGCCGCCGCCGCTCCGCCTCCGCCTCCGCCTCCGCCTCCGCCTCTTCCTCCTCCTCCTCCTCCTCCTCCTCCTCCTCCTCCTCCCTCCTCCTGCTCCTCCTCCCCCTCCTCCTCCACGTCCTCCCCCTCATCGCCCCCCCCTCCTCCTCCTCCTCCTCCTCCTCCTCCTCCTCCTCCTCCTCCTCCTCCCCCTCCTCCTCCACGTCCTCCCCTCATCGCCTCCTCCTCCTCCTCCCCTCCTCCTTCCTCCTCCTCCCCACTTCTCCTCCTCTCCTCCTGCCTCCTCCTCCTCCTCCTCCTCCTCCTCCTCCTCCTCCTCCTCCTCCTCCTCCTCCTCCTCAATAGTAATGCTAAGACTATTCGTATGCGTATTATTGGTATTGTGTTTATAACCATTCGTCGCGATAGTCGTGGCAGAAGCATTGCCGGTAGGTTTGTACATACTCGTAAGCATCGTAATATGACGATGACTCCTAGTATTATTAGTATTAGACTTACTCCTGACTATCAATACTAATAGTAGTAGCGGTATTCTTCTCACCAATCGTACTATTAATGGTAGCCTTAGTTTGACTAGTAGTACTACGAATGTTATACATATGGCAACTATTGGTACGAATATCATGACTACTACGGTTATGGTAAAGAATATCACTCTTACTCGTACGGTATTACGCCTCGTGTCATTAACGTTGTCTGTTATGAGTCGTATCAGCATCATTATTAGTAGTCCTACTATTACTGCGAATACGATGACTAGTACTGTTAATGTTACTCGCATTATCATCATCCATACTATTAGTATGTTTCCTATTCCTCTTCCTCTTCTTCCTCATCCTCCTCCTCCTCCTCCGCCGCCGCCGCTCCGCCTCCGCCTCCGCCTCCGCCTCCGCCTCTTCCTCCTCCTCCTCCTCCTCCTCCTCCTCCTGCTCCGTCTCCATTCCTTTTCTTTGTGAATAAGTTCTCCCTGTCGCACCCCGAGGCCAGTTTTTAGAGCGGGGCGGGCGTTTCGCCAGAGACTTCCTCACCACTTATGACTCTGAAGCATTAAAACATTAAAGAGTGTCACAGATGGAGGGCGGGTCGTTTTCAAAATGTGGCTCTCACCTTAGCGCGGCGCACATTCGTTTTAAACATTTGCAAGAGCTTCGCGGATTGAGGGCGGGCCGTTTTGAAAATGTGGCTCTCGCCTCAGCGCGGCGCACATTCGTTTTGAATATTCGCCAGAGCTTCACGGATGGAGGGCGGGTCGTTTTCAAAATGTGGCTCTCGCCTCAGCGCGGCGCACATTCGTTTTTAACATTCGCAAGAGCTTCACGGATTGAGGGTGGGTGGTTTTCAAAATGCGGTTCTCGCTTTAGCGCGGCGCACACTCGTGTTAAACATTTGCCAGAGTTTCACGGATGGAGGGCGGGTGGCTTTCAAAATGTGGCTCTCGCCTTAGCGCGGCGCACATTCGTTTTAAACATTTACAAGAGTTCCACACATTCCCATCATCAGCGTGCCAGAAATGGTGTTTCGAAAGGATTCAGGATTATGCGGGTGTAACAGTTATGTTGATTCGCCGTGCTGAAGTCCCAGGAATGGCGTTCTGGCACGATTCAGGACTGTCAAGGCGCAACAGTCAGGTTGATCCGTGGCGTTGGAATCCCGAGAACAATATTTTAGCATACTTCAGGGTCTTCAAACGAGTGTCTTCCAAAGAGGCAGCTCCTTCAATGGAAATGAACCGTTGTAGGGGCCTATGAAGAGGGAGATTGGAGGGAGGGTTTATTCCAACATCGTTGATGACTCTTGGGCTTGCACTGGTCCTCCTCCTCCTCCTCCTCCTCCTCCCCCTCCACCCTCCTCCTCGAGTAAGCACCCGATGACCTCTGGAAGCCCCCGGGGACCTCGGGAGACCGCCGAAAACCCTCTGGACCGGCCTGGCGGAAGGGGGCAGAGGGACGATAGGATAGAAGGTGAGCAGGAGGAGGTTGAGCAGGAACGACGGCGCGGGGGTGCAGAGTAAGAGGAGGCAGAGGAGATGGAGGAGGGCGAGGACGCAGAGGAAGAGGACGAGGAGGTAAGATAGGATAGGATAGGACTCGGCTCTGCGCGTGGGCAGTGGCACATAGCTATGCACACACTGTGTGAGACTCGTGCAGCTACACCCACGAACGATCGAATATCTACTATGCGAGGTTATGGGCAACGCGCGCCGACGAGGAGGAGGACGGGGACGGCGTGGAGGAAGACGAGCAGGAGAACGAGGTGGAGATGGAGGGCGAGGGACGAAGAGTGCAGAGTGCCCCTGCCCCCCCCCCCTGCTGCTCTCCCCAGACGTCCGCCCCCGAGGGCGAGGAGAGCTCTTCCCGCTGGCTCTCCAGCCACTCGACGGCCGAGGCGGAGACAGGGGCAGATCGCCAAGGGGAAGCCACTACACCTATCCAGGGGCTCTGGCCGCCCGTGCCTTCGACGAGCTTCCCCCCGCTGCCTCCGCCGAGCCGCGCTCCCCGGTCCCCGACCGCCCCCCCCAGGGGCGAAAGGGGCACGGAGGTTGCGGGACACCGCGGCGCGGCGCGGGAGCCTTCTTCAGCTCGTCGACCGTCAGTGTCCCCGACTCGTCCTCGTCCATGAGCTTGAAGGCGTGGAAGATGCCTGGGGAGGGCGCCCACCACAGCATCGGGAGCTCTTGCGTATGGCGGGCCGCCGCGGCGGCCCCGGCGGCACACACTGCCCCCTGCAAGAGCGGATGTGGCTCCTGCCGCCCCGCCCCGCGGGGCGGCGGGAGCTCGGAGAGGCTCGGGGCGCGGAAGCCTGCAGACTGGGAAGTGGACAGCGTGTGGCGCCGGGGCACGTCGGGGGGCACAGAGGAAGCCGAAATCTGTTGACTTGCAATTGTACGATCTGGAGCCATTCTGAAAAACAGGCCCGTTTCGTCCATATTGAATACGGGGTCCGAGGGCAGAGCTCTCTCCGCACGGCCCCCGGAAGAAGGCAGCGCGTCCGCCGGGAGCGTCCAGGCGGGGCCCCCGCTCCCCAGCCCCCCACCTCGGGGCGGCCCTCCCGCTACGAGCAGCCCCCGAGCGTGGTGGGCCAGGACTGGCGGGGCGGCACGCGGTCCAAAAGATCTCCCGGCCGTGTGAGCTCGCGCCGGCCCTGGCCGAGCGCGCCCGCCGGGCCCAGGAGCGGTGCATGCGCCCTCCCGGCGGAGGCATACGAGACCTATGTTGCATCACAGCAGCAATTCGGCCTCTGACTTTCGTCCTGGGCTCGGTGTAGTGAAGTGATGAGTTTCGTGCTCCTTACGGGGGGAAAAAAAAACATCACTTCACTAATCTGGGGCCCCTGGGGCCTCCATGGGCCCTGGGGCCCGAGATTAGTGACGTGATGGTTTTCGGGCCTCGGAAGACAGGGAGCCACGCACGCTGGCCCCGGGCCCAGTGGATAGGCCTGGCATTGAGGTCGGGCACGTCCTCCTGCACAGGCGGGTTTTGGAAGGCAAGTCAAAAACAGTCAACAGATCTTCCAAAATGGTCGGAACAAAGATTCAATAAAACTGTCCCCTGGCTATTTTGCTGACAACGTTTGAATATTTCTCCTGTAGAGGTCAGGCCCGACTTAAGCCTGGCCAGGATCGGCCTGTGCGTTACCATTGGCAGCCCCCGGGTGCCGTCCATGTCCTGGCCGGGGGCGTTGTTGGCGCCCAGGCCCACGGCCATGCAGAACATCACCGCGCGCTGGAAGTAGCTCGCGTGGCCCAGGGTCTCGAGGTCGAAGGTCTGGCGGGAGGGGGCCGCAGGCTGGAAGCAGCACCCGCTCGCTGCCGTTGGCCCTGGGCGATCTGCGGCGGCTCCCGGCGGCCTTCTGACGGTCTCCCCAGACCCCCGACGTCATGATTCTTTCATGACGTCGACCCCCAGAGGTTTCGGCCCATTCCCCGGGACCAGTTTCTCATCCCGTGTCGTTTTTTACTGGTCTTAAGGAAGGTGAGGGCCCCCAGAGGCCGAATGGCGAAAAACCACAGTCGTGATTGTTTCATCACTCGAGAGGGTCTGGGTTCATGGCTGGCTTCGCGAAGGTCTCCGGCGGCTTCCGGCGGTCTTCGGCGGCTCTGGGCGCTCTCCGGCACGGCGAGCACTGGACAGCTGCGCTCCACACAGAGGGCCAGCGGCGCCAGCAGACGCGGGCGCGAGGGTGGCTGTAATGGCAGGGCGTGCCAGGTGCGGGCGCTGGAGCGGGTGGAAAGAAGAGGGCGGCCGCGGAGGAGGAGGCGGGAGGGACCCAACCGCCGAGAATCAGCGAGTAAGCAACGCGCGGGCCCAATGACCGAACACCGCAGATAGAAGAAGAAAAAACAGCATGAACATAAACTTTTGGCGCTCCTCGCGGATTTCTTGGATCCGCGCTGGACCCCCCTCTCCCTGGCGCGCGAAGCGCGCCAGTGGCGGCGCCGGAGGCGCCGCTGGGGAGGGCCCCGCGCGGATCCAAGGAAGCCGCGCGGAGCGCCGAAAGTTTATGTTCATGCAGCCTTTTCTTCCTCGATGTTCATCCCGAGCGGCTTCCCCCTCGCCTGGTGGGGGCCCTCCAGGGGCCGAACCTGCAGGAAACCCTCGGGCATGATGCCGCCGGCGAAAGTTGATGTTTTCAGGCCGTTTCTTCATCTTCCTCGAGGAGAGGCCGAACAGCTGCGACCGCCTCGCGGCCTCACGGCGCGGGCCCCGGGAAGCAGTCCATGTAGCGTTGTGGATGCCACGACAGTGGGCACCCCAGCAGTCCTATCATTGAATGAACGATGTGTTTCAAATGCGTGACACATGTTCTCAAAACGTTTCAAACATGTTTTTTCAACCTATTCAAAACAGATTTGAAATATCTTGTAGACATCTGGAAAGTATTTGGCAGCATGCTTCCTCTCCATTGATCGTCCTCCACAAATGCAGCGCCCCCGCTGCCGAGAGGGCCCGTGCTGGTGTGCCGCCGCGGGGGGGCGGCTCCGTGGGCGCCCCGCGGCGGCAGCGCGTGTGGCCGAGAGCCGACCGAGCCAGCACGGGCAGCGAGAGCGAAACCCGCCGTGAGCCCAAAGGCCGCGCGACGAGAGGAGCTTCTTGGGGCGAACAGAGACACACTAATACTGTATGTCCGCCTTGGAGGCGCGCGACCGACCCGAGCATGCAGTAGACCCCTCTTGTAGTGTATCGTTTCCCGAGCGGTGTGGCCAGAAAGCGCCCGCCACGACGGACATACTATAAGATTTCTCGGTGCGCGCGTCGCCCCTGGGGGGGCGACGCACACTAAGTATAAGTATGTTCGGTTGACGCCGATTTCTGCTTTCTGAGAGGGCCCCAAAATTTTCAGGAAAGCCCCCCCGAGGCCTGAACCCATTCCCCAGGACCGGTTTCTCATCCTGAGTCGTTTTTTTTGACGGTCCCGAGGCCCGGCAAGGGTCCCCAGAGGACGAACGTGGCGAAAAACCTCGCGTCGTGACTTTTCTCACTGCTCGATGGGGGGTCTGGCACCAGGGCCACCCCGAAGGGCTCGGAGACCGAGAGATCGGCCCCCGGGCCTCCCCCCGAAAGGTGCGCTGTGGCCAGGACGTATCGAAGCGGGCCCAGCCGTGGCCACGCGGGCGCCCACGGAGACCCGTAGGAAGGGCGGAGCGCGGCGCCGGAGGCGCCGCCGAGGGGGCCCGGCATGGATCCCAAGAGACCCGCGCGGAGTGCCAAAAAAACTTATATGTTTATGGCGATTTTCCTCCTTCGACCCATAGGTTGTCCGCCTCCATGCGCCGCAGCGTGACGAACGAAGCAGTGGCATGTCGTCCGCCTCCCTGCAGCGTCATGCGCCGAGCTGAAGCTGATGAGTCTGAGTTCCGCTCTCCCCCCTCTGCGTTGCCGTTCGACGACCAGCTGCTCAGAAATGAATTGCTCCGCCTCCCTGCAATGCCACGTCACGAATGGAATTGGCCAGTCTACTCTCCTCGCCACGTGTCCGCGTGACATGAAGAGAAGCACAGTTTCCACACCCACCATGCGCGACCAAGTGACGATTTGAAACAAATGCGATTTGTTTCTGCTCCATGGGTTGCTACATGATGCGTGGAGTAGAATGATCTGGCTTGCACCTCACCCCATGAAGATGCCACGCTACGCGAACAGTATAGAATAGTATATGTTCCGTCCCCCTGCGGCACCATGTGACGAGTGGAGCTGAATAGTGTTTCGTTCGCCCCTCATATGTGATCCGCGCCCTCTGCGTTGCCACGTGACGGGCGGAATAGAATACACCCCGTTACGAAAGTTTTGTTCATCTTGGCTGAAATTGACACGTCTGGGAGCTATGGTGAGAAGTAGTAATGGAGTGATTTTTATATGTGGATTCAAACAGGAAATATTCAGAATTGCGTAGAGAAGGTCAGAAGTGACTTCCATCTTGTGAACTTGGAGGGAGAACGATTTGATCCCGAATTAGCTATATATTATTGTTACTATTATTATTAACTGTATACCAGGGAGAAGCCCAGAATGCTCTCCCGCCCAACCAGGCCGAAGGCTGCCGTGCTAGAAATCTACGGGGGGAAGGGAGGTCCCGCTCGCAGACGCCCTAGTCGTCAGCGGTCAAGATGAAAAATTTTCGTAATGGTTAAGTAGTATGGTTTCCACCCCCTTGCCATGCGTGACGAGTCAAGCAGAATATTATTTGTCCACCCCCTGCGGTGCCATGTGACGCAAAATCTTGCGTGCCCGCCCCCCAGCGGTGCCATATAACGAGTGATGTGAAATAGTGTTTTGTCCGCTGCCCTACGTTGCCATGTGACGAGTAACGTATACTACTGGGTTGTCCGCCCCCAACGCGTTGCTACGTAACGACCAGAATAGAAAAGCTCCGCAAACAATGCTTGGCCTTAAGGGTTCTTACTTCTCTCTCTCTCTGTCTCTCTCTCTCTCTCTCTCTCTCTCTCTCTCTCTCTCTCTCTCTATATATAAGGAGTTGAATAAATCCAGCAAGGTTTCGCCAAGCCGCCGCCCGTTCCCGCCTCGTTGCAGCCTCGTGCGCTGGGTGGGCTTTCAACATGTATGTTGCCGCCTCGTTGCCGCCTCGTTGCAGCCTCGTACGCTGGGTGGGTCCGGCGAGTTTTCGCCAAGATGCCGCCCGCTGCCGCCTCGTTGCCGCCGGAGGTAGAAGAAACGATCCCCTTGTGACCCCCTGCGGCTGCACCGGGGACCCCTGATGCACACAGCACCCCCGACTGGCAGAATGGGCCCCGGTCAAAAAGGTGCGATCTCGAGAGCGACCTCCGCGCGCCTTGGACAGCCCGGCGGTCAGCCTCCTCTGCTGGTCGAGGAACCACTGGAAGATCAGCAGCTGACTGGCCTGAGGACGGTCGTCCGGGTCCTTCTGCATCACCTCGCGGACAAAGTCCTGGCGGCGGTGCTCTCACGAGGGGCCACGGGGTGATCGAACGACTCGGCGACTGGCCACGCTTGATGGCGCGTGACCGTCCCGATCACCAGGTCCTCCGAACTCGGCGGACCACACCCAACCACGGTGCAGCGCGTGTGGTCGTGTGCTGCCAGGCCCAGCGCTACCCAAAGAAACAATGCCGATCGCCGACGATCCCCCTCACCCTTGAACCGATCCGCGCGCCTGCCCTGCCCTCCTGGGCGCGATCCCACCCCTCTTGGGCCGATCTGCGCGCCCGTCGAAACACCAAAAAACAAACAACACAAACAACACAAACAAACAATCAAATAATCAAACAAGCACGAGCATTAACAAGAACAAAGACGACAACAACAACAACAACAACAACAACAACAACAACAACAACAACAATCATTTTACCCTCATGCGCCATGCTTCCACATGACACATGCATCCATCTGGATAACACACCCCTATCATGGGGGATTTTTCTGGCATGCGGGATCCGATATTCCCTCACCCAGATATCCCGCCCAAGAAGGTTTGGCCACCACCTCTTCCGAGGAACTTCAACATCCATAGCTCGGACGGCACATCGCCTTCGCAATCGCCTTGCGCATGCCCCGCATCTCGAAGGGAGAGGAAGAGGACGAGGAGGGGGAGATGAGAGAGATAGGGAGGGGGAGGAGGAGAAGGGAGGGGGAGGAGGGGGAGGAAGGATGAGTAGTTGTAGTAGCAGCAGTTGATGATATTGTTGTTGCGGCTGTAGCACTAGTAGTAGTGGTAACGGTAGTAGTAGTCCAAGTAAGTAGAACTGGTTTGTGGCAGCCAAGCGTTCATAGCGACGTTGCTTTTTGATCCTCCTTTAATGTCTTCTCTCCCTATCCTTGAGACGCAGAAGTCTCAAAAAGTTGGATGGTTCAGCACATCCAGGAAACCTATCGCTGGACCGGCCCAGATATGGTTCCAGAAGCGGCTCGGGAAGCTGCGCAGGCGCCAGAAGCAGAGAAGCACCACGTACGGGCGCCGGCTCGGGCGTCCGGCCCACAGCCGCTCCAGAATCGGCCCAGGACGGCTTCCCGGGCGCCGCAAGCAGAAATTCAGCATTTTCGAAAGAAAAATGTGTATTGGAATGGCCTCTTTTCGGCGCGATCGGAACTGCCCGGGCGTCCGGCCCGGGAGCCGGGCCGGGTGCCGGCCGGGCCGGGTGCCGGCCCGAGCTCCGGAATCGGCCCGGACGGCCTCCCGGGCGCCGGAAGCAGAAATTCAGCATTTTCGAAGAAAAATGTGTATTGGAATGGCCTTTTTTCGGCGCCGCCTCGGAACTCGATTTTCCGGCGCCCGGGCGCCGGCTCGGGCGCCGACCCGGGCGTCCGGCCCGGGAGCCGGGCCGGGTGCCGGCCCGAGCTCCGGAATCGGCCCGGACGGCTTCCCGGGCGCCGGAAGCAGAAATTCAGCATTTTCGAAAGAAAAATGTGTATTGGAATGGCCTTTTTTCGGCGCCGCCTCGGAACTCGATTTTCTGGCGCCCGGGCGCCGGCTCGGGCGCCGACCCGGGCGTCCGGCCCGGGAGCCGGGCCGGGTGCCGGCCCGAGCTCCGGAATCGGCCCGGACGGCCTCCCTCCCGGGCGCCGGAAGCAGAAATTCAGCATTTTCGAAAGAAAAATGTGTATTGGAATGGCCTTTTTTCGGCGCCGCCTCGGAACTCGATTTTCCGGCGCCCGGGCGCCGGCTCGGGCGCCGACCCGGGCGTCCGGCCCGGGAGCCGCTCTCGGCGGCGAGCAAGAGCACCGAGCCCGAGTAAAAAAGGAGGAAGTCTCGAGCCGGAGCGTTGTTGTTGTTGGGGGGCCGGTTTTAGCGGAACCCCAAAACGCTTGAGCGTGAGCCTCAATTTCAGAGGAAATGCGGCCGGCGCCTCGGCGAGAGCGCCAGGGCGAATATAGGGGGTCCAACAATAATAATTGTTTAGTAATTAAGGTTCAACAACAACAACAACAACAACAACAACAACAACAACAACAACAACAACAACAAACAACAACAACAACAACAACAACAACAACAACAACAACAACAACAACAACAACAACAACAACAACAACAACAACAACAACAACAACAACAACAACAACAACCACAACAACAACAACAACAACAACAATTTTAGCACGTGGGGACACACCGTTCTCACCAGTGCCAGGGTTTTCATCGGAGGCGGGCAATACCCCCACTTTGTGGGGGGGCCGGTTCAAGCTCTACCACATTTCCAAACGACTCTTCGCCACCACCCACACCCAGCTTCCCGCCCTATGACGTTCGGACACTTCACTTCGTGGCATGCGGACGACCGTGGCTACTACACTGGCGCATGGTTTCAATGACTTATTTGACATGTGTCCCGCATGGTATTATTTGACAGGGATGATGGCCCTGGCAGGTGCGCAACCGTTGTTGGAGAAGTTCGAAGCAAAAAGTTGATCGCAAAAGCCCGTTTGACAGAAATGTTTAAAAAGTGTTGGGTTTCCTGCAAATCCGCAAGAGCGCGCGGGATGAAATTGTGACATTTTTTTTTTAAAAAAAAAAAAAAAAAAAAAAAAAAAAAAAAAAAAAAAAAAAAAAAAAAAATGGTTTTTTGATGTTTTTATGTTGAAATCGCTACGAACACTAAGGTTTTGGAAGGATTTCGTCTTGCGCGCGCGAATGTCCACTTTACCTTATTTTTTGCAAGGGATTCTTGAAGTTTGGTTATTTTAGAACAAGAAATTTCATTTTATAGTGTTTTTTGCAAGGGACAGCGGGGGGGAACAAAACAACCGGATCTTGATGACATCGTATTACCTGAGGCTTCCTCACGAAAATGATGAAAATGTAGCTGCGGCCTAGGCGGCGCAGGGGGGGCGCGCACCAGGGGGCCCAACAATAATTATTCTTTAGAATTAATAATGTTCAACAACAACAACAACAATCACTTTACCCGAACGCTCAGTGTTCTCACCAGTGCCAGGGTTTTCATGCGACGCCAGCCAATACCCCCACTTTGTGGGGGGGCAGTGCAAGCTCTACCAAATATCCACACGACTCTTCGCCACCACCCACACCCAGCTTCCCGCCCTATGACGTTCGGACACTTCACTTCGTGGCCTGCGGACGACCGTGGCTACTACACTGGCGTGGAGTACACACCCACAGAAGTTGTTAAGCCTACTTGGAAAACCATTGGTTTTTTAGGATTCGGACAGCGCGCGCGGGTAGAAATTTTGAAAAGTCGTGCAGGTGTTTTTCGAGGACCTACGGTGCGATTCGTGTGATTTTATGATGCGCGGTGCTAAAATTCTTAAGAAGCCCAATGGTTTTGGAGATTTCGGCGTGCGCGCGCGAAGAAAAAACGAATGTGTCCCGCATGGTATTATTTGACAGGGATGATGGCCCTGGCAGGTGCGCAACCGTTGTCGCAGAAGTTCGAAAAAGTTGCTCGCAAAAGCCCGTTTGACAGAAATGTTTAAAAAGTGTTGGGTTTCCTACGAATCCGCAAGAGCGCGCGGGATGAGATTTTGACAATTTTTTGTTGAAAAACCATTGGTTTTTTTTTTTGATGTTTTTATGTTAAAATCGCTGCGAACACTAAGGTTTTGGAAGGATTTCGTCTTGCGCGCGCGAATGTCCACTTTACCTTATTTTTTGCAAGGGATTCTTGAAATTTGATTATATTAGAACAAGAAATGTCATTTTCTATTGTTTTTTGCAAGGGAAAGCGGATTACAACAAAACAACCGGATCCTGCACACACCCTCTTTTCTGAGGCTTCCTCACGAAAATGATGAAAATGTAGCTGCGGCCTAGGCGGCGCAGGGGGGGCGCGCACCAGGGGGCCCAACAATAATTATTCTTTAGAATAAATAATGTTCAACAACAACAACAACAACAATTACTAGCACGTGGGGACACTCCGTTCTCACCAGTGCCAGGGTTTTCATAGGAGGCGGGCAATACCCCCACTTTGTGGGGGGGCCGGTTCAAGCTCTACCAAATTTCCAAACGACTCTTCGCCACCACCCACACCCAGCTTCCCGCCCTATGACGTTCGGACACTTCACTTCGTGGCATGCGGACGACCGTGGCTACTATTCAGGGCCCCGCGGCCGACGACGACGGCGTGCGCGCGCGAAGAAAAAACGAATGTGTCCCGCATGGTATTATTTGACAGGGATGATGGCCCTGGCAGGTGCGCAACCGTTGTTGCAGAAGTTCGAAAAAGTTGCTCGCAAAAGCCCGTTTGACAGAAATGTTTAAAAAGTGTTGGGTTTCCTACGAATCCGCAAGAGCGCGCGGGATGAAATTTTGACATTTTTTTTTGAAAAACCATTGGTTTTTTGATGTTTTTATGTTAAAATCGTTACGAAAACTAAGGTTTTGGAAGGATTTCGTCTTGCGCGCGCGAATGTCCACTTTACCTTATTTTTTGCAAGGGATTCTTGAAGTTTGGATATGTTAGAACAAGAAATGTCCACTTTAGCTTATTTTTTGCAAGGGAAAGCCGATCGTAACAACACAACCGGATCCGGACCAACCCGTTTTGCCTGAGACTTCCTCACGAAAATGATGAAACGTGGCTGCGGCCTAGGCGCGGCGGGGGGGCCATGCACCAGGGGTCCCAACAATAATTATTCTTTAGAAATAATAATGTTCAACAACAACAACAACAACAACAACAACAACAACAACAACAACAATAACAACAACAGCAGCAGCAACAACAACAACAACAACAACAACGACGACGACGACGACGACGACGACGACGACACCAACCAACCAACCAACCAACCAACCAACCAACCAACCAAACAAACAAACAAACAAACAAACACATAACAACGACGACGACGACAACAGCAGTAAAAACAACAAACATAATAAATATGATCGCTCTTATCTGCTCGCGTGCCGATCAGCACGCCTGTCCCAAACCCTCGATACCCGCCCTCTTCGCCCTCTTCGTCTTCGATCGTACCCCCTTACGGTATATCTTCTTCCTTACCTGCAACGTGTATTTCGCGCAGCCCTGAAGGCAGGGGAAGAGAGGACGGATGGAAGGAAGGGACAAGGGGGAGGGAGGAGGATGGAGCACGAGAGAGAGAGAGAGAGTAGCGGGAGGGGGGCTAGGAGCAGAAAATACGTGGAAGAACCAGACGGGCAGATTGGGCGGGCAGACCCTAACGGGCGGGTCGGGAAGGCGGGCCCAGGCGGCCAGGTCGAGCAGGCGGGCTACTGAAGCGTGCGTCCTGCATGAATCGCGAGGAAGTGTCGAGCGATAGCGCGATTCCCAAATAAATCGTGAAAAAAATACAGCGAGAGCGTGATTCCTGAGTGTCGAAGGCGCGGCGTCTGAATAAATTGTGAGGAGGTCCCACGCGAGAGCGCGGTTCCTGTATAAATTGTACCAAAGTCCCGCGCGAGAGCGCGAATTGGGAATGAATTGTGAGGACGTATCAAGTGGGAGCCGCTGTGGTTGTAAACCAAAGGCCAGGGGCACAGTCTGGTGACCCCACACTGTCCCTTGGAAAAAACAAGGTGCGTGCCCCGGAGGCGTACCATTGGCCAGCCGGTCAAAGACAGTTCCAGACAAGGACGACCGACCAGAAGCGCCACAAGGCTGGCCCGAGACCCGCGAGGGAAGCTGCCGACGCGCACGCCCCACCGGCAGCCCCGAGCCCAAGTCCGGCCACGGAGGCAAAGGGGCCATGCCTGCCGCAGCGCGCCTCCGCGCGTCTTCCCGCAGCCGCGGGGCGGGGAAGGGGGAACCAAGACCACCAGGGGGGCCAGTTTCCGTCGTCGGCGGCGAGCGAGGGGGGGGGAAGTGACGAGGAGAAGGCCTTCTCAGAAGGCTCAAAAGTCCCCCATGCCTTCTGAGAAGTTTTCTGCGCCATCCCCGAAGGCACAAAAAAACTGCTCAGAAGGTGCGAGGGCTTCTGAGAAGCCCTGCCGCCTTCTGAGAAGGCCTTCTCCTGCACTTCCCCCCCGCGCTCGCCGCCGACGTCTGGAGGGGGGGGGGGAGACGGGCCAGGCCATCCTACGTCCTGGGGAGCGCGGGGGAGCCCCAGACCACCAGGGGACCTGGGCTTCCGTTTGGAGGGAGGGGGAGGGGAGAGGGTCCACCAAACCAGCCCACATAGTCCTGAGGCCCACCGGGGACTTGCCATCGCTCGGACTCCATTACCCGTGGAGTGGTCGGTCTCGTGCGTGCTCATTGTTGCCAGATGGTCCAGGATGCTCCTCGATGGCCCTCGCCAGAACAAAAACGCACCTGTCCGAGCGATGCCGAAGAGAGGGGGGGGAGGAAGGCGGCACGGGGGAGGGGTGCCGAGAGCCCCCTGCCCGCCACCCCCCTCCGCGAGCAGGCGCACGGCAACTGGAAGAGAGGAGGGGCTCCTGCGCCAGCTGCGGCAGCCTGTCGAGGGGAGGGTGCGTGTTCGCCACCTGGCAGAACAGCATGAACACGTTGGTGGAGCCCCTGGGGAGGGAGCGGGGGAGGGGGGGCGCAGCGCAGGCCCGAGATGCAAGACGGAGCCAGGACGAGGCCAAGATCGGGCGAGCACACATCCAGAATCTCAGAATCTCCGAGATCCAGAGGCCCTGGAGGCTGTCTCTGCCGCGGCCTTCTCGGAGCGTTCCGGAACGCTCCGGCAGCGTTCCAGAACGCTCTGGAACGGAGTTGTCCTCGTCCTAGCCCCATCCGAAGATGGATCGGCTCTCGGGGACGTACTGACCAGGGTCAATGCAAACCCGGGTCAGTGGTGCAGGATCCTGCACGAGCCTGTACCCAAACCCGGGTCCATGCATCCCTCGCCCTGCAGGATCCTGCAAGATCTGGCGGTCTGGCTGACCCCCCGCATAACATCTCCGAGGTCCGCGCGGATTTCCGAGCTGTTTATGCTTATGTCATCCTTCGTTCCCCTTCTTGACCGCCGTCTCTTGAGCTCCGAGGTTCGCAAAAAATCAGATGGGGCCGGAAGCGAATCGGATCGCGCTCGGGTCGGCGCGGGGTCGGATCGGCAGCGGGTCGCGCGGGGCATCGCCGCTCGGGGCCCGGGCCCTGCAAAGGCGTCGGGGGGGGAGTCGGTCCGGCTCGCCTTCGGCATCGCTCGGACGTCGGCATCGCTCGGACGTCGGTTCCCTCCACGTCCTTCCTCCTCCTCCTCCTCCTCCTCCTCCTCCTCCTCCTCCTCCTCCTCCTCCTCCTGCATCGTTCGGATGTTCGGTATCTCGGCATTCCTCGACGTCGTGCGTGCATCTCTTCACGGGATGACCCAAGGTGCTCCTCGCTGGTCTTCGCCGAGAAAGGCGACGGCAAGAGAATGCACAGGTCCGAGCGACGCGAAAAGAGATCGGAGCGGGAGCTCGGGCTCGGAGTCCAGATCCCATCTCGGACCGTGAGCACCCCGGAAGCGGCCGAGGGGGCCGAGGGGGGCCGAGGCGTCTCCGGGGCCGAGCTCGGGCCATGGGGCGCCTCCACGTGGATTTTCAGGGTGGCAGGATGGCGGAGCCGTGGCGGAGAGAGAGGAGACCCCGGAGCTACACCGCGATGCAGCCCTCGGCCCGCCGCGGGGATGCACCACCGTCCACAGGCAGCTGGACGCAGAGCAACAGAGGGAAAGGGGAAATCAGAGCACACCAGCAGCACAGAGAGTCGAGAAAGTCGAGATTGTTTGGATATTGGGAAGAGGCAACAGAGCAGAGAGAGAGAGCTGAGAGGGCAGAGAAGCGGAGAGTAGAGCGCAGAGAGCATGGAGAAGAGTGCAGAGTGCAAAGTGCAGAGCCCACAAGGAAGAGAGCACAGATTAGAGATAAAAGAGCACAAAGACGAGAGTAGAGAGCAGAGGGTCGAGGGTAGAGAGTAGAGAGCGGAGGGTGGAGGGTAGAGACCGGACGCAGAGGTTGAGGGAGAGACTCACTGACTCTCTCACTCAGTCACTCACTCACAAGCCATACGCCGTCCGGCGCGCGGGCAGAACAACAAGTTCAAGCAATCACAGACAGCCGGCGCAGCGTTTCACCCATTGCTGTCTGCGAGGGAGAGATTAGCGAGCAGATAAGAGGACGGAGAGTAGAGAACATATATCAGAAACCAGGGTGCAGAGGGCACAGAGAAGAGAAGAGATAACAAGAAACATCAAATTCGTAATCCCTTGCTCCACAACTTTACGCACGAGCAACCGACGTGGGTTTCCTATGGTGTGGTAGAAATGACCACAGGAAGTACTATCGTGGAACGTCTTCTCGTCGAGAGACCAGCCCCTCAAATGCCGAGTCACGCACACACGGCTGGCAAGCTCCCCCTCTTGCCCACGGTGACGATCCGCAGAGGCCTCTGAGGAGATCCAGGACTCACACACACACACACACACACAAACAAAACAAAAAAAAAAAAAAAAAAAAAAACGCAGCAACAAAAATGCTGCAGAACCCGCATCCTCTTGCTGGAGGCAGGAGGAGGAGGAGGAGGAGGAGGGCGGGGATGAGGGATTGGAAGATGATGATGCTGATGAGGAGGAGGAGGAGGAGGCAGAGGAGGAGGAGGAGGAGGGAGGAGGGGGAGAGAGGAGGGAGGGAGGAGGGAGGAGGGGGGTCTGCACACATCTCCAAAGCTCTCTCTGGCCCATGGCACTCTGCGCAGGTCCCTCGCAAGGCCCGCGCCGCCTGAAGGGCCGCTCGTTGGTCAGCATCTCGAAGACCATCACGCCGAGCGCCCACACGTCGGACCTCAGGCACACCAAACGACATCTGGAGGCCCTCCAAAACGAAGTCCGAGCAGATGGGCTCGGAAGATCGCGCCGCGCATCGGCGACGTCGGCGTGGATGAGAGCGGGCCCCGCATCGAGCCGCCCCGCCGATGCACCGGCGATGCGGCGCGACGCGTCGACCCCATCCAGGCGAACGTTGTCCTATTCGGCGCTTCGACCTTGGGCGGACAGGGGGGAGGGGAGGGAGGGGGGTGGATTTGGCCCCGGACCTCTGCTTACCGCGGCGGTTTGCAGCAGTGCGTCCTGCGGGGGGGCGGCGCCGACTGCGCGAAACAGGCGCCAAGGACGGCCAAGGTCTGCTTCACGGGGGGGGGGGGAAGGGCAAGGGCCCGCGCCGCTCGGCGAAACAAGGAATCAGCAAACGGTCACCAGTCGGACCCCGTTTGGGGGAGGCCTGGAGGATCCCCACGAGGGAGGATCCCAGCCCGGATGCCGAGGCCCCACCGATCCGCGCCGATCCTCCTGCCCCCGCCCCTGGCCCCAGCGACGGGGGCGAGGAGCTCAGAACTACCCGACTAACGAACTCACTAACCGGCTGACTGACTGACTGACTGGCTGGCTGGATGGCTGGCTGGCTGATTGACAAACCAACTCACTCACTAACTCACTGACTAACTAACCTACTGGCTGACTGACAGATGTTGGCCAACGTGGACCCCAAACAGTCTGCTTCTAGCCATATGCGCTGCGCAAGATTTGCTGTGCTGTCTATTAGGTGCAGTATATGTGGTGCAATATATGCGGTGCAATATCTGTTATGCAATCTATGTGGACCAATGAGTGTGCAACAGCCTCTGTGGTGCAATATACATATAGAGAGAGAGAGAGAGAGAGATTGTATGCTGTGTATGGTGTGCAGTCTACGTTGTGCCATACATGTGGTGCAATAGATGTTGTGCGGGTGGAGCAATGTGTGCAGACTAGATGGTGCAATATCTGTTGTGTAATCTGTGTGATGCAATCTGTGTGGTGCATTCAGTGTGGCGCAGTCCTTGTCGCGGCGACGAGGTGGCGACGGCGGCTACACAGCCGCCAGAGCGGCAGAGGCCCAAACGACGGGCGGCGACAAGGCGGCGACGGGCCGGCAACGGCAGCTACATAGCTGCCAGACCGACAGAAGCGCAAGACCTGTTTGGGCAACTAGCTAGCTAACCAAGGAACTGAGCGGCGGGACGCCCGCCGGGGGGGCCCTCCACTGGGCACCGGACCCCCCTGGCCCTCCCCACCCCTCTCGGCCGCGCAGATGGGCAGGAGGGGGACATGGGTCTTGTCACAGACACGGTGCTGGCACAGGGGACGCGGAGTGAGGCACGAGGGCGCCTTGCTGGCCACGGCGAGCCTCGGCCACGAGCCACGAGCAGCACCCCCCCTGGCCAAGATCGGTGGAGCGGCCCGAAAACCCGAGGAGGAGGAGGAGGAGGGAGGACGAGGAGCAGGAGGAGGAGGAGCAGGAGGAGGAGAAGGAGCAGGAGGAGGTGATGCCAACCTGATCCTAACTTCAGCGTCTTAGCTGTATCCGTTCGATGCCAGCGGCGCTCGGGAGGGGCGGAGGCGGGTCAACGCGAGGGCTCTGGGGCCGCCCCGGGGCTCCCTGGAGTCGGGAGGCGCCCTCGTCCCACAACCCTGACCGCGGCATCCCGAAGACGGCGGAGATCAGCCGGCATTGGCGCCAGCGCCCATGTGCGCTTCTACCCTCCGAGCTCTTGGTCCACCCCAGCGGCCCACCCCAGCGATCCTGGCCAGGCCCCCGCTGGGCCCAGCATCGGCGTACACCCTCCTGGCTTGGCCGCGAGGCGTGTTCCACCGATCCATCCTGGGCCCTAAGACCGTCCCCAAAGACGACTCGGGCTCAAAAAGCGGCCCCAGGGAAAAGGGGCCCAGACCCCTGGACGCCCACGTTACGACGCCCAAGCTCAGGGGCCAAGGTGTCCGCTGGGCACCCGGCTTGCAGGTCAGGCGGCCCTCGAACCCCTCCGGCGCGAGGTAGGCCGGCGTGCCCTTCACCGCCGGCTTCCCGCCCGCGGCCTCCTCGCCGTCGAAGATCTCCGCCAGCCCGAAGTCCTCGGGGGGCGCGGGCGGTGGCACCCGCACTCGCCGAAGCCCGAGGAGGACACCCCTCCTCCTCCTCCTCCTCCTCCTCCTCCTCCTCCTCCTCCTCCTCGTCCTCCTCCTCCTCCTCCTCCTCCTCCTCCTCCCTCCTCCTCCTCCTCCTCCTCCTCCTCCTCCTCCTCCGCCCTCCTCCTCCGCCTCCTCCTCCACCCCCTCCTCCTCCTCCTTCTCCTCCTCCTCTCCTCCTCCTCCTCCTCCTCCTCCTCCTCCGCCCTCCTCCTCCGCCCTCCTCCTCCTCCTCCTCCTCCTCCTCCTCCTCCTCCTCCTCCTCCTTCTCCACCTCTTGTTATTATTATTAATAATAAGATCATCAGTATTATTACCAGTGTTATTATAATTATTGTTATCACTACTATTATTATTATTGTTATTATTATTAATATTATTATTATTAGTATTGTTATTATTATTGTTATTATTATTGTTATTATTATTATGATTAATAATAATAGTATTATTATTAGTATTATTATTATTGTTATTGTTAGTATTATTATCACCAGTATTGTTATTATTGTTATTAATATTACTATTATTATTAGTATTAGTATTATTATTCGTATTATTATTAGTATTATTAGTATTATGATTAGTAGTAGTAGTATTATCAATATTATTATTAATTAATAATAATTATTATTATTATTATTATTAATATTCTTTTTATTCCCCACATCCTGAGTGGGGTTCTTGTTTTCCCAGAACACCCTCTCCTTCCCACCCACCTCCCGCTCCATCGCTACCATACCATACCATACCATACCATACCACACCATACGTACCATACCGTACCATACCATACCACACCATACGTACCATACCGTACCATACCATACCATGGCGTACCATAGCATACCATACCATACACCCTCCAGGGAGGCCCCGCCTGAGCGAGGAGGGTATCGGAATACCATACTATTTACATGGTTTCGTGCCCCTCCCACCCCTCCAGGGAGGCCCCGCCTGAGCGAGGAGGGTATCGGAATACCATACTATTTACATGGTTTCGTGCCCCTCCCACCCCTCCAGGGAGGCCCCGCCTGAGCGAGGAGGGTATCGGAATACCATACTATTTACATGGTTTCGTGCCCCTCCCACCCCTCCAGGGAGGCCCCGCCTGAGCGAGGAGGGTATCGGAATACCATACTATTTACATGGTTTCGTGCCCCTCCCACCCCTCCAGGGAGGCCCCGCCTGAGCGAGGAGGGTATCGGAATACCATACTATTACATGGTTTCGTGCCCCTCCCACCCCTCCAGGGAGGCCCCGCCTGAGCGAGGAGGGTATCGGAATACCATACTATTTACATGGTTTCGTGCCCCTCCCACCCCTCCAGGGAGGCCCCGCCTGAGCGAGGAGGGTATCGGAATACCATACTATTTACATGGTTTCGTGCCCCTCCCACCCTCCAGGGAGGCCCCGCCTGAGCGAGGAGGGTATCGGAAACCATACTATTTACATGGTTTCGTGCCCCTCCCACCTCTCCAGGGAGGCCCCGCCTGAGCGAGGAGGGTATCGGAAACCATACTATTTACCATGGTTTCGTGCCCCTCCCACCCCTGCAGGGAGGCCCCGCCTGAGCGAGGAGGGTATCCGAAAACCATACTATTTACATGGTTTCGTGCCCCATCCCACCTCTCCAGGGAGGCAAAACCATACTATTTACATGGTTTCGTGCCCCTCCCACACCTCCAGGGAGGCCCCGCCTGAGCGACGAGGGTATCCGAAAACCATACTATTTACATAGTTTCGTGCCCCTCCCACCTCTCCAGGGAGGCACCGCCTGAGCGAGGAGGGTATTCGAAAACCATATTATTTGCATGGTTTCGTGCCCCTCCCACCCCTGCAGGCCCCGCCTGAGCGAGGAGGGGTCGTGCCCCTCTCCCCCGCCTGAGCAGAGGAGGAGTCGCCTGAGCGAGCGAGGGTATCGGAAAACAATACTATTTACATGGTTTCGTGCCCCTCACACCCCTCCAGGGAGGCCCCGCCTGAGCGAGGAGGGTATCCGAAAACCATACGATGTACATGGTTTCGTGCCCCTCCCACCCCTCCAGCGGGGCCCCGCCAAAGCGAGGAGGGCATCAAGAAAATGGGTCCCACGAAACCGTTAATCTCTTTATGTGGGGAACTCCGCTAGCATAGTGTTTAGTATTACTACTATTAGTATTGTTATTAATAGTAGTAGTGTTATTAGTATCATCATCATCAGTATTAGTAATAGTAGTAGTATTATCAGTAGTAATAATATTAGTATTAGTATTAGTATTACTATTATCATTACTAGTAGTATCGATATTATTAGTATGAGTATTAGTATTAGTAGTAGTATTATTAGTGGTATTAGTATCATTATTATAAATAGCATTGTTATTATTATTACTACTATTATTTTTAGTATTATTAATATCATTAGAAAAATATTAATAATAGTACGATCACTATTAGTAATATTAGTAGTATTCTTATTCGTCTTCTTACCACTCTTCTTAACAGTATTATTCTTAGTATTCTTCTTAGTATTCGTATTATTCTTATTCCCCACATCCTGAGTGGGGTTCTTGTTTTCCCAGAACACCCTCTCCTTCCCACCCACCTCCCGCTCCATCTTCCATACAGCACAATATTATTCCTACCACACACACCATACCATACCATAGTACCATACCATACCACACATACCATACCATACCATACCATACCATACCATACCATACCATACGTACCATACCGTACCATACCATACCATTGCGTGCCCCTCCCACCCCTCCAGGGAGGCCCCGCCTGAGCGAGGAGGGTATCGGAATACCATACTATTTACATGGTTTCGTGCCCCTCCCACCCCTCCAGGGAGGCCCCGCCTGAGCGAGGAGGGTATCGGAATACCATACTATTTACATGGTTTCGTGCCCCTCCCACCCCTCCAGGGAGGCCCCGCCTGAGCGAGGAGGGTATCGGAATACCATACTATTTACATGGTTTCGTGCCCCTCCCACCCCTCCAGGGAGGCCCCGCCTGAGCGAGGAGGGTATCGGAATACCATACTATTTACATGGTTTCGTGCCCCTCCCACCCCTCCAGGGAGGCCCCGCCTGAGCGAGGAGGGTATCGGAATACCATACTATTTACATGGTTTCGTGCCCCTCCCACCCCTCCAGGGAGGCCCAGCCTGAGCGAGGAGGGTATCGGAATACCATACTATTTACATGGTTTCGTGCCCCTCCCACCCCTCCAGGGAGGCCCCGCCTGAGCGAGGAGGGTATCGGAATACCATACTATTTACATGGTTTCGTGCCCCTCCCACCCCTCCAGGGAGGCCCCGCCTGAGCGAGGAGGGTATCGGAATACCATACTATTTACATGGTTTCGTGCCCCTCCCACCCCTCCAGGGAGGCCCCGCCTGAGCGAGGAGGGTATCGGAATACCATACTATTTACATGGTTTCGTGCCCCTCCCACCCCTCCAGGGAGGCCCCGCCTGAGCGAGGAGGGTATCGGAATACCATACTATTTACATGGTTTCGTGCCCCTCCCACCCCTCCAGGGAGGCCCCGCCTGAGCGAGGAGGGTATCGGAATACCATACTATTTACATGGTTTCGTGCCCCTCCCACCCCTCCAGGGAGGCCCCGCCTGAGCGAGGAGGGTATCGGAATACCATACTATTTACATGGTTTCGTGCCCCTCCCACCCCTCCAGGGAGGCCCCGCCTGAGCGAGGAGGGTATCGGAATACCATACTATTTACATGGTTTCGTGCCCCTCCCACCCCTCCAGGGAGGCCCCGCCTGAGCGAGGAGGGTATCGGAATACCATACTATTTACATGGTTTCGTGCCCCTCCCACCCCTCCAGGGAGGCCCCGCCTGAGCGAGGAGGGTATCGGAATACCATACTATTTACATGGTTTCGTGCCCCTCCCACCCCTCCAGGGAGGCCCCGCCTGAGCGAGGAGGGTATCGGAATACCATACTATTTACATGGTTTCGTGCCCCTCCCACCCCTCCAGGGAGGCCCCGCCTGAGCGAGGAGGGTATCGGAATACCATACTATTTACATGGTTTCGTGCCCCTCCCACCCCTCCAGGGAGGCCCCGCCTGAGCGAGGAGGGTATCGGAATACCATACTATTTACATGGTTTCGTGCCCCTCCCACCCCTCCAGGGAGGCCCCGCCTGAGCGAGGAGGGTATCGGAATACCATACTATTTACATGGTTTCGTGCCCCTCCCACCCCTCCAGGGAGGCCCCGCCTGAGCGAGGAGGGTATCGGAATACCATACTATTTACATGGTTTCGTGCCCCTCCCACCCCTCCAGGGAGGCCCCGCCTGAGCGAGGAGGGTATCGGAATACCATACTATTTACATGGTTTCGTGCCCCTCCCACCCCTCCAGGGAGGCCCCGCCTGAGCGAGGAGGGTATCGGAATACCATACTATTTACATGGTTTCGTGCCCCTCCCACCCCTCCAGGGAGGCCCCGCCTGAGCGAGGAGGGTATCGGAATACCATACTATTTACATGGTTTCGTGCCCCTCCCACCCCTCCAGGGAGGCCCCGCCTGAGCGAGGAGGGGAATACCATACTATTTACCGTGCCCCTCCCCCGCCTGAGCGAGGAGGTATCGGAATACCATACTATTTACATGGTTTCGTGCCCCTCCCACCCCTCCAGGGAGGCCCCGCCTGAGCGAGGAGGGTATCGGAATACCATACTATTTACATGGTTTCGTGCCCCTCCCACCCCTCCAGGGAGGCCCCGCCTGAGCGAGGAGGGTATCGGAATACCATACTATTTACATGGTTTCGTGCCCCTCCCACCCCTCCACCCCTCCAGGGAGGCCCCGCCTGAGCGAGGAGGGTATCGGAATACCATACTATTTACATGGTTTCGTGCCCCTCCCACCCCTCCAGGGAGGCCCCGCCTGAGCGAGGAGGGTATCGGAATACCATACTATTTACATGGTTTCGTGCCCCTCCCACCCCTCCAGGGAGGCCCCGCCTGAGCGAGGAGGGTATCGGAATACCATACTATTTACATGGTTTCGTGCCCCTCCCACCCCTCCAGGGAGGCCCCGCCTGAGCGAGGAGGGTATCGGAATACCATACTATTTACATGGTTTCGTGCCCCTCCCACCCCTCCAGGGAGGCCCCGCCTGAGCGAGGAGGGTATCGGAATACCATACTATTTACATGGTTTCGTGCCCCTCCCACCCCTCCAGCGTCGCGAGGAGGGCATCAAGAAAATGGGTCCCACGAAACCGTTAATCTCTTTATGTGGGGAACTCCGTTAGCATAATTCTTTTTTCATGTGAGTATTATTGTTCTTATTATTCGTAATACTAGTATTATTATTATTAGTCTTATTAGTCGCATTCTTATTCTTCTTATTATTATCATGATTAATAGTAGTATTCTGATTAGTAGTAGTAGTATTACTATTAGTATTATTGGTAGTGATATTATCACTAGTGTTATTATTGTTCTTCTTCGTATTAGCAGAATTGCTCTTATGATGAGTATTATTATTCGTATTATCATGAATAATAATAGTATTACTCGTATTAGTAGTGTGGTTATTATTCTTGCGCTTATTATTATTCGTATTAGTATTATGATGCTTATTGATATTCTTATTATTATCAAAAATATTCGTCGTATTCGTATTATTCTTCTTAGTATTATTATGATTATTATTCTTATCACTAGTATTAGAATCAGTATTACTGCTCTTATTATTAGTATTACTACTATTAGTATTAGTATTGTTATTATTATCAGTATTATTACCATTATGAATATTATTAGTATTAGTGTTCCTCTTCTGCTTATTATTAATATTATTCTTCGTGTTCCTCCTCCTCCTCCTCCTCCTCCTCCTCCTCCCTCCCTCCCTCTCTCCCTCCCTCCCTCCCTCCCTCCTCCCTCCTCCCTCCTCCCTCCTCCTCCCTCCTCCCCTCCCTCCTCCTCCCTCCTCCTCCTCCTCCCTCCTCCCTCCTCCTCCTCCCTCCCTCCTCCCCTCCTCCTCCTCCTCCTCCTCCTCCTCCTCCTCCTCCTCCTCCTCCTCCTCCCCTCCTCCTCCTCCTCCCTCCTCCTCCTCCTCCTCCCTCCTCCTCCTCCTCCTCCTCCTCCTCCTCCTCCTCCTCCTCTTCCCCCTCCTCCTCCTCCCCCTCCTCCTCCTCCTCTCCTCCTCTCCTCCTCTCCTCCTCCTCCCCCTCCCCCTCCTCCTCCTCCTCCTCCTCCTCCTCCTCCTCCTCCTCCTCCTCCTCCTCCTCCTCCTCCTCCTCCTCCTGATGGACCGAGGAAGGGGGCGCGCACGCCGTGTGCGCCGATGCCGGCCTGGGGCGGGCCACTGGCCAGGAGCGGCACAGCCGCGTGCAGCCGGGGCCGGCGGCAGAGGGCACCCAGGAGGACGCGAGCCTGCTCCGAGGGCAGCATCTGCCCCAGGCAGGAGCCCGGAGCTCAGAGGATGTGACTGTTCCGATCCCAGCGGTGTTCCCTCGAGTTCGGCATCTGGGGCCCACTTCCAGACCCCGAGAACCTCCAAAATGGTCTGGGACGCCAGAATTATCCTGGCGAAGGCCCAATCAAATGCAAGTGTCAATACCGCAAGGCAAATGAGACGAAGGAGGGGGAGCTCCCTGTGAGGCGACGAAAACGTGGGAGGGGTGTACCGAAATGGGTGGGGGACGCATGCGGACTCTGCTAGAAGGGCCTTTGGTGGAGCGCACTGTGGGGCGCGTGGGGAGTGTGCTGGAATGGGCGGGGGGACGCATGCGAACCCTGCCACGGGAGCATTCTGAGTACCTCCCCATTGGGCCAGGAAACGCGTGAAGCGTGCGCCGAAATAGACGGGGGACGCATGCGAACCCTGCCACAAGAGGCTTTGGTGGAGCTCCATGTGGGGTAACGAAACGTGGGAGGGGTGTGCCGAAATGGGCGGGGGGACGCGTGTATGTGAACCCTGCCGCAAGAGCCTTCTGTGGAGCTGCCTGTGGGGTCACAGAACGTGAGGGGTATGCCGAAATGGACGGGGGGGCGCACACGAACCCTGCCACAGGGGCCTTCGGTGGAGCTCCCTGCGGGGTCACGAAACGCGAGAGGGATGTGCCGAAATTGGCGGGGGGACGCATGCGAAACCTGCTGCTGGGGCCTTTGGTGGAGCTCCCTATGGGGCCACGAAACGTGTGAGTGATGTGCCGAAATGGGCGGGAGAACGCATGGGCGGGGGGGCGCATGCGAACACTTCCACAAGAGCCTCGGGTGGAGATCCCTATGAGGCCACGAAGCCTGCGAGGGATGCGCCGAAATCGGCGGGGGGACGCATGCGAACCCTGCCACAGGAGCCTTCAGTGGAGCTCAATGTGGGGTCCCGAAACGTAGGAGTGGTGTGCCGAAATGGACGGGGCGACGCACGCAAACCCTGCCACCGGAGCCTTCGGTGGAGCTCCATGTGGGGTCACGAAACGTGTGAGGGGTGTGCCAGAATGGGCGGGGGGGGACTGGCGCTACGGCCTTGGGTGGAGGTCCCTATGGGACCACGAAACGTGTCAGGGGTGCGCCGAAATGGGTGGGGGCGCGCATGCGGACTGTGCCACTTGGACCTTGGGTGGAGCTCCCTATGGGGCCACGAAACGTGTGAGGGGTGCGGCTAAATGGGCGGGGGGACGCATGCGGACTGTGCCGATGGAGCCTTGGGTAGAGCTCCCTATGGGGCCACGAAGCGTGCTAGGTGCTAGGGGTGTGCCGAAATGAACACGTGGAGAGCAGCAGCAAGAGCAGAAGGGATGAGGGGGAGAAGGAAGGAGTGAGTGAGACGAAGAACGCTCTCTCTTCAAAACGAGGACCCAACACCTCAGGATGATTGGGAACAAATCACCAGATCCAAATGTCTGGGAAGACAACATGAAACTCGATAGACAGGGCACAAAGATACCCTTGCTTCTGCAGGGCCGACCTACCCACTTATCAGACCCGACCGCGGCTGTCGCCCCCCGGAGTCCGCGAGCAGGACGTGCGGGAATATCTCGCTGGCCTCCCCAAGGCTGAACTTCCTGAGCAGCATGGTGTTGCCCGGCTTGAGGTCGCAGTGGATCACGCCTGGGCCACCGTGCCGCCGTGTGAAGCGGAGCGACGAGGGCGGACGGAGGACGGATGGGGGAGGGGGGAGGAGGGAGGAGGAGGAGGAGGAGAAGGAGGAGGAGGAAGAGGAGGAGGGATGAGGAGGAGGAGGAGGAGGGATGAGAAGGAGGAGGAGGAGGAGGAGGAGGAGGAAGCCTCTTAGGGCGCTCGTGTGGGTCCTATGAGCGCTTACTGCGTGCGCAGGCGGATAACTCCTTCCTGTGTCGACGCCGAGGAGGAGCAAGAGGACGAGGACGACGGCGGCGACGACGACGACGACGACGACGACGGCGACGGCGACAAAACGACAACGACGACGACGCAACGACGCGTGGCGCGCGGAAGTCCAACTGAGGGTCTCCAGAAAGTCCCCGCAGGGTCCCCCGAGGCCCCCGAGGTCCCCGAGGCATCTGGCCCCCCTGGACGCCCGCGGAGGCCACGAAAAGTCAAGAGGCACACCTCCAGCCTCGAGCGCCTCGAACGCCTCGAGGTCTCGGCGATGCCGCCACTGGGATGTCCCCCCCCCAACACGGAGCGCACGCGAGGGCGCTCAGGACCTCTCGACCCTGCAGAGCACCTCGAGATCCCGGCCCGACCTTCGGGGGGGACGTCAGCGCACCGCCCATCCTGGCCAAGCCGATCCCGGGCCCGCGGTCGGTGCACGTTTACCCCCCCCTGACCAGGCCAGGCTTGCGCACACACCGATCCTGGGCCCAGGACGGGCTCGGCCAGGATCGGTGAGGTGGGCACGTACAGTCGAGGCTGATTGGAGAGGACACGCAAGAGGGCACAAGACCCTCTCGAGGGCTACACTGCCATAGGAATGTAGAAGGCATGCGTCGCGAAACAAAGAACACAATGGTACCCTTGGTTTGGCAGGGTCGACCTACTAATTAGCCTCGACTGTAGCAGATGTTTCCCGAAGTTTCAGGCCGCCCACATGGGGTCCGAGTCGATGCATCGAAGGATCGCGCCGCATCGGCGATGCATCGGCGGCGTCGGCGTGGAGAAACTCGGGCTCCACATCGAGCCACGTCGCCGATGCGTCGGCGACGCGGCGCGATCCTTGGGCCCCCCCTGCTCTGACCGCACCTGGGAGGCCCAGAGAGGTGCTCCCCGCGCAAGCGATTTGGGGAGCCCCTGGGGCCCTCTGGGCGTCGTGACGAGGTGCTCCAGGAGCCACCTGCGCCGCCCGGGGGCAGCTGGGGCCACCCTGGGCCAGAGTTGGTTCGGAGGGAGGAGGAGGAAGAGGGAGGAGGGAGGAGGGAGGAGGGAGGAGGGAGGAAGAGGAGGGAGGAGGGAAGAGAAGGGGAAGGACGAGGAGGCGGAGGAGGAGGAGGAGGAGGACGAAGAGGAGGAGGAGGAGGAGGAGGAGGAGGAGGAGGAGGAGGAGGAGGAGGGAGGAGGGAGGAGGGAGGAGGGAGGAGGGAGGCAGGCTCTGGGAGGCCACATTGGGCCTGCGTGTGCAAGGCGGGCGCGTGCGGTCGCCAGGCGTGCGTCAGAGCATGCCAGGAGCTTCAGAGCTTTGGGCATGGCAGAACCAGGAAGAAGAGAACTCGTGATGGGAGGGACGACGACAAGGAGGGCGAGGAAGCTGTGGAGAAGGAGGAGGAGGAGGAGGGCGACGACGACGAGGCAGAAGTAAGAAAGAGGAGAGGAGGAGGCGGATTATGCCTGAGCGGTTGTAAACAGAAGGGGCCTTCAAGAGGAAGCACAGGGAGCCCACGGCTCCGGGAGGCTCTGGGAGGCCACATTTGGCCTGCGTGTGCAGGGCGGCCTTGGGCCCTCCCGGCCCTCGGAGGGCACTGCCATCCGAATAGGCACAGAACCGAGGACTCCCCTCTCGTTCCACGTGTTCGGGATCTTCGTCTTCACCCCCTGGCCAGACTTCCCCACAGACTCTCTCCGCAATCGACGCTCACGTGTGGCTGTGCGGTTCGTGCTGTCCCCGTCTGGCCCTCGTCCTGCCACCAGGGGCACGCCGCGGGGGGAGCGGAGGGCCTCTCCGGGCCACGGCGAGCCTGGCAGGCCCGAGGGGCACGCCACGGCCAGAAAGCCGAGGAGCGCCCCGAAGACCAGAGCCCTCCTCTGGAGTTCGGTCGGGCACGTCCCCCCTGCAGGCGGACTTTGGACGAAGAAAGCGGAAATAGCAAGGACAATACATTCGACACAAAAATATAGAAAAAGCCGTCCAAGAATCGTCCCCAGACTAGTTCTGACTGTGTAGGGACATGCCTGTGGAGGGACATGCCCGACTGTGGAGGGACATGCCTGTGGAGGGACAAAGATTCGACACAAAAATATTAAAAAGTCTTCCAGTAATCGTCCCCAGACTATGCTTGACTATGTTTGAATCTTCTTTCCTCCTGTGGAGGGACATGCCCGCCTTAATTTTGGAACGCGGAGCGGCCCTCACCGCAGCGCCCGGGCTGCAGGGGCAGCGGCGGCCGCGCGCTGGGGCACGCGCCCTCCGAGTGCATGTAGGCCAGCGCGGACGCCACCTGCTTGGCGACGGCGCGCGACCAGTCCTCTGGGAGCCTCTCCAGGGGCGGGAGGGGCGAGGTCGCCGTCGTGGTCGTCGTGGTCGTCGTCGTCGTCATCGTCGTCGTCGGCGTCGGGGGTGAGAGGGGCGCTTCCAGGGAGGTTCTCGTCGCCGCGGCCCGGCGCATCTCCAGAAGTGGCCAGGGCTGGGCCCTGTGGAGGCGTAGAAGGGCCGACTCCGCGCGGCCTTGGGGCCGGGCGAGGGGAAGGACGAGGACGACGAGGACGACGAAGACGACGACGACGACGACGACGACGACGAGGACGACGACGGACGACGACGACGACGACGACGACGACGACGACGACGACGACGACGACGACGACGACGACGACGAGGACGACAAAAGGCGGCGGCGGCGGCGATGACAACGACGAGCCCCATCGGAGCTTGCAAGGGATTGCTTAGCTCAGTAAGGCTTACTGCGATGGAGAGACGAAAGACTCTGACCGAATCCAGTAGCGGGGAGACCAAAAGGTACTGATACTGCTACTCCCTGGACCTCTCCTGGGGTGCGTTCTGACTAGAATTTCGAGGCGAATCCAGCTGTAGCGACGAGGGCCTCCGAGGAGGCTCAGAAAGGGGAAAACGAGGGAAAGGTAGAGGTATGGGTACCTTTTCCTCGTCTGAAACAGTGGGAGGAGGAGAGTGGGAAATTGGCATTGCTCGCCCTTTTCGGGCCTCCTGGAGGGGGGCTTCGTCGCCGTGGCTGATCCCGCCTCGAACTTCTGGTCGGAGCGCACCCAAGGAGAGGTCAAGGGGCCGATTTTGAGGAGTCGCGTAACCTCTACGGCATCGGGTACGCGGGTCAGCGATGCCGTGCCCTCTGGTCCGGAGTCGTGCAAACAGCCCACACAAAGTTTTCCCCAATTCGAATCCCAGAACCCGCAGGGACCAATGCGGCTCGAGAGTGCCATATGAAGATACATGAAGGTTGGGTCTGGAGTCTGGCGTCCGGTCGTCATGTCTTTCACGTCGGAAATTCGTAGGGAATACCGGACGTGACGATTGTTGCTTCCCTGACCACCGCACGCGCGAGGGGTATGAAGATCACAGGACTGGCACACCAGGAATGAAGCAACAAGTGCCTGTCCATCTGAAATACCCCATGTACTCCTGATTCGAAACACGGTGATACTGCTGGGCGCTAAGGCTACTGCTGGCTACGCACCAGCATCCAAAGCGGCGAGGGTGGCCAGGAGGACACCGCATCTGACTGATTCTACCACTGACTCACTGGCTGACTAATGGCTGCTTGGTTGATTACCCCAGCGCCTCTTTCGTCGCAGCCTCGGCGAAGCTTGGACTACTGAGCACGGCCCAGCGTAACTTGAACGAGGCGGCCCGCTCACTGAAAACCTATCACCGCGCAGCTGCCTCTCAGCGAGCCTCCTCGCCCTCCTCCTCACCCCCCCTCTCGCGCTCGCGTGGCCCACGCCTTCCCCCTGAAGGTAGTGCAGGGACTGCGCTGTTTATGCGCGGGCCTTCGCGCACCCACAGGCTCTCAAGAGGCCCCCAGCAGGTTCCCATATAGGCCCACAAGAAGCCTCCGAGAGATCCCGAAAGGCCTACGAGAGACCTCCGGTCAACGGCCCAAGCACGAATACGCCGCCCCCTGTTGCTTGCAAAAACGGTTGCTCGGCGTGTCGAGGCTCAACGTTTCCTGCCCCCCCGGAAGGTACCCAACGGCCTCCAGCCCAACCCGCCGGCCACCCAGGCGGACGCCCACATGCGGCCAGCACCCCGTGGGTTCTTCCGCCCCACTTCTAATAATTGTCCAAGGTAGGCTCGAGGCCCCCCCCCAGGAGCGCGCGTGCGAAACTTCGCCCACGTGCGAACGCACCCTGAACTCTGAGTACCTCCAGTGGAGCATCTTGCGGCGGCCCTCGCCGCTTCGATGGGGGGCCTCTGGACGACGAGCTCACGGCGGGCCCGCCGAGAGGAGGAGGAGGAGGAGGAGGAGGAGGAGCAGGAGTCAGGGATGGATGGAGGGGGAGGACAAGGAGCGGGAGGAGTGAGAGGATGAGGAGGAGGAGGAGGAGGAGGAGGAGGAGGAGGAGGAGGAGGAGGAGGAGGAGAAGGTGTAAGACAGCTGTGTGTTTTTTCCTGGGATCAGCTGGACCCAAGCTGGCTGCAGTGCAGGCAGAGAGAACGAGGTAAGACGAGAGACGGAAACAAGTGTTTGACTTCCAACGCACCCCTCGGAAAAGACTTCCCCTCCGTGCAGATCAACTGTAAAACCTGCTATATAAATATACACACGCGCGTGCTGCGCTGGATACACATGATACCCCTACAACTCTCACTGAAATCACTTTTCGCTCGGGACAGCGACGCCCGCGATGCGCGTGCTCACGGCTCCGAGGACCTTCACAAATAAGTCAAGGTTCTTCAAGTACGGAAGATCAGTAAGGACGTCGTTCAGGACATCGTCGTCCGAGCGCCTCTTCGCGCCGACGCCGATCGTGACCAGGATTTCCTGTCTGCTGACGAGGAAGACGAGCGACCGCACTTGCGGCGGCAGGACCGAGAAAGGTCGCGCCGCTCCTTTAACTCGTCAAACCCCAGTGCTTCCCGCTTGCCACCCTTCGGAGGCATTGGCGACGGCGGCAGAGGCAGCGCCGCTTTCCAAGCCCTGTCCGCTAGCAGTTCTGGGCCGCGGCTTCTTGCGCGAGGAAATGCGCTAGGACATCAACCGAACTCTGGTCCATCTTGCGGTGGTTCGCTGAAGTGAGGTGTTGCACCAGGCGGTACGTCAGCGCTTTATCCAGCTGTTCTGGCCCTCCTTTTATGTATGGCCGCTCTGCTGTGCTATAAAAGACATCGCGGTCGGCACAACAAGGACACCGCTTGAAAGCTAAAACCACTTATTCTGACATTGTCAGCATGTCGATAGCCAGGCACTGAAACATGAACCTCTGAGCCGATATGCTATGGATACAAAGTGTTAGAATTTCGCATATTGCAGCGTCGAGAGGCTGAATACCCATCGTTGCTTTCCACGCGCACGAATCATCTTTTGAGTTCGTTTCAACGCGCACGCTCGAAAAACTTCGTTCCTAAATCAGCGCAATTGGTCGCGCTGGGCACCTTTCCCAACCGAACACGAGATGAATAGACAAATTGCCGCGCGCGCACAGACTTAATACCGACGCGCTTGAGTTCCCCAAACCCCAAGCGGGAGGCCGTCGAAATCCCCGCGGGCGAATCGGATTTAATCCGCCGTCTTACGGCCACGCCAACACCAAATTCAGCGAACATTGTCTGCGCTAGTAGTCCTTCGGCCTCTTCCGAGGCGATGGCGCGCAACTCTGTCTCTCCGGAACTCTGGGCAATCATTGATTGGGCGCAAATATAGCTCGCAAAAAGACATGGACCCCAAAACACTGAACCGCTATATGTGGATTTCCGGGTTGTTTTGCACCCAGCCCAATCGCCATCTACACACAACAATGTCGTCTTTCAAAGTTCCGTCGTTTTGCAAATGCAGGCATTCGTGTTTGGTCTCCTGCACATACCGCACGAGGTGCTCGGGTTCCCCCATGTCCTCCATCGTTGGCGCCGCTAGTTTTCCCGCAAATTTCGTCGCGACTTGAACGTCGGGTCTCGCGGTGGGGATGCATTGCATCTTGCCCACTACGCATCGGCACTTGATGGTCCTGGCCCGTCAACTGTTCAAATTTTCCTCCAATCGACCCCTGCACAGGCATTGAGGTCTTGCGCCCCGGAGTCGAAGCGGCCGAACATCCTTTCACCCCTTGCATACCGGCGCAGGGTTCACAGCAACGCCGGCTGCCTCAAAATTGCAACTTTCCCGAACGCTTTACAGCCGATGCGGCATTGAAGCGCTCACCCCCACGGAGCAGAACATGTTTCTCGAGTTCATTGAAAAATTTCGCGACGGCATCATCAGGACCTACAGACATGGGGTCATCAACATGACCGCTTAGATACACGTTTCTCTTCTAGCTCCAAAAGAATTGAAGGCCACTCCGGCACCGCTTGAAACCCATTCGTCCCACAAGAACCCCAGCTAGATAATCCCGGCAGTTTTGCGGCACCCCCCTCAGCTAGATAATCCCGGCAGAACCCGCCCATTGCCTTTTGCATATTCCAAATCACACTTGGGCACTGGGACTTCCACGGCCAAGGGGGTCTACAAAACGAACGCCCCCTGGTCACAAGTATCTGCCGCATGAAAGCTACACTGAAATCTCCAACCCTGACGGTGTAATTCATTATCATCGCTATTGCTGAAATGAAGATTAAACCTGATGGGGTCGGGGTTGCCGCGAACGCGACGCCCCGGGCCGCTTCCCACTTAAAAATCCTGCGCAACTAAGCGTGACCTGACTTCCGTTTAGCCGCGCTGCTTGCGGGCCCATCCTGCGCATTCGGGTTGCGACGTGGCTTCGTCTCCCCTGCGCCACTGGCGCGCGCCAAAATGATCAAGGTGGCCCATGTCACGTTTCATGATTGCCTCCACTAAGGGCCTGGTTTTGGCGAGCCGCCAACTAGATCATCATCGGCATAGCAATTTCGCAACACTTATTCACGCGCGTCTTTATATTATTGTCATATAGTAAACGCACGCGCGAGGCTCGGATGCTTCGCAAAATTGCTGATCATCTGCCAAACTGAAAATCGAACTGATTGCTGCAATGGTGGCAGATCCTGGGCCCTCTGGACGCTCTCCGTCAGCCTTTTGTTTCTCTCCCTGCTGCGCGCTTTCCAGATCGTTGCGCTCTTGGTCCAACTCTTCTGCTCGAACTTCAGCTTGACGTGTCGCGACGCCGCTATGGCTTCGACTACTCCGCCCTGGATCACCGCCATTGCTACCCGGGTCTGTCGCCGAAACGGCCCTTTAACCTTAAACCAAATGCGTCTGTCGGGCGCCCCCTCGGACGTTTCCGACTCCTGGGGGGGGCCCCGTTGGAGGTTGCGCATCGGCGCGTCGTGCCGACTTTTACTTGCTTTTGTTTTCCCACCGTTGCCG